CACCTGCATTTGGTGATGTTGATTCAATATGATTCAATCACACATGCGGCCTTGAAAATATCTAGATACTTTCACTGCCATGTTGGTTGATCTACAAATTAGATATTGTCGAGTGGTTCACTATGGATTCATTCCAACATGGCAGTGGACATATTTACCCTCTGGTCAACTAACACAGCTATGGGAACAAACCATTTTAATGGGAAAATCATCCCTGAGTTCTGGCGAAATCCCCAGCCCTGCTGGTCAAATCCGTATTTTTTCTTCACAAAACCACGAAGTTTGCTTCGTGTTGATGCGTCAATCCGTGTTTTGCTGGTCAAGTTGGATCTTACTACATGTGATACTTTGAAAAAAGTAAGTTGGTGAAAATCCGTTAGCGCCTGTGTTTTGGTCATTCTTTGATACGGGCACGGCTCAAAAATTGAATACAAATGGAGGCCATCCTTTTTGAGGGTGTTGACTAGGTAGTGATGCTTGATTTGCAGATCGACAAGTGGTTTTATCTATGTGTCCAATATTTCCTGTGGTGAACAAGATATCTTTCGTATGTTCCTAATACGTGCTAGATGAATGTACGTAAGTTATATATATATATATCTATATCAGTGATTATCATTGCATACAATACAATATAATACAATATAATACAGTAAAATACAATAAAATACAATATAATACAACATAATACAACATAATACAATATAATACAATATAATACAATATAATACAATATAATATAATATAAATAAAATATAATATAATATAATATACATAATATAATACAATACAATACAATACAATACGAGACAAGACAATACAATACAATACCATCCAGTCCAATCCAAACCAAACCAATACAATACAATACACAATCAAATAATTACAATCCAATCCAACCCAATACAAACAATACAATACAATACAATACGATACCATCCAATCCAAACCAATCCAATACAATCCAATCAGATACTAATACACAATCAAATAATTACAATAATACAATACAATACAATACATATGCATTACATTACATTACACTACATTGCATATGCATATGCATATGCATATACACATACATCCATATATGCATACATGTATACATCTATACATCTATACATCTATACATCTATACATCTATACATCTATACACATATGCATATATATATATATGGGTAAATTATAATATTTCACTAACCTGAATTAAGGCGATCTTGAGGATGATTCCCCTTACTCACCATGATCCCAGTGAGGGAGAACAGTGAGGTCGTTATAATTTACATAGATATATATATAATATATATATATACGCGCAACGCCTGGGCTTTGCCCAGGCGTTGCAGCGTAGAGGTTTCCAATTCCCAAACAAATGTTGATGCAACTTCACAAAACTCCTATGGGAAAAACAACAAAGGTACTAGGGAATATTAACCTCCCACCCCCCTTTGAACCTTAACTTCCTATGGGAAAGCACAACAAAGGTACTAGGGAATATTAAACTCCCACCCCCGTTAAACTTTACATTCCATTGGGAAGATCAACAAAGGTACTAGGGAATATTAAACTCCAACCCCCGTTAAACCTTAAATTCCTATGGGAAAAACAACAAAGGTACTAGGGAATATTAAACTCCCACCCCCGTGAAACTTTACATTCCATTGGGAAGATCAACAAAGATATTAGGGAATATGAACCCCCCCACCCCCGTTAAACTTTACATTCCATTGGGAAGATCAACAAAGGTACTAGGGAATATTAAACCCCCCACCCCGGTTAAACTTTACATTCAATTGGGAAGATCAACAAAGGTACTAGGGAATATGAAACTCCCACCCCGGTTAAACTTTACATTCAATTGAGAAGATCAACAAAGATATTAGGAAATATTAAAGTCCCACCCCCGTTGAACTTTACATTCAATGAAGCTCTTCAATAAGGGTTTAATTCTCCCACCCCCGTTAAACTTCTACATTCATTGAAGATCTTCAATAAGGGTTTAATTCTCCCACGCCCGTTAAACTTCTACATTCATTGAAGATCTTCAATAAGGGTTTAATTCTCCCACGCCCGTTAAACTTCTATCTTCATTTTGAAGATCTTCAACAAGGATTTGATGATGATGATGATGATGGTGATGGTGATGCTGGTGATGATGATGATGATGATGATGACGATGATGATGATGATGATGCGTTCCCTGTCGTGGTTGCGGTTCCGGGCAAAGCCCAAGGCATTTGCCGTATATATATATATACATATGTATATAGGGAGATATAGATAAATATAGATAGATATACATTCCATTACATTATCATTACCATTGCCATTACCATTACCATTGCCATTACCATTACCAGTACATATATACATTAGTACATTAGAAAATAGATAGATAGAAAGATAGATATATAGATATAGATAGATATACATACATAGATAAACACACATTACATTACATTTCATTTCATTACATTTCATTACATTACATTATCATATATATACATTATCATAGATACATTATCATATATACATTATCATATATACATTATCATATATACATTATCATATAATATAACATTATCATATATACATTATCATATATACATTATCAAATATACATTATCAAATATACATTGTCATATATACATTAGCTAATAGATAGATAGATAGATAGATAGATAGCTAGATAGATAGACAGATAGATAGATAGATAGAAAGATAGATAGAGAGATAGATAGAGAGATAGAGATAGAGATAGAGATATAGATATAGATATAGATATACACATGGGGGGGAATGCTGCCTTGGGGACGCTGGTGGAGCCGCCGCACTTGCTGGCCAGCTCGCTGCGGTCAAAATCTTCCACCACCGTTGGGCTGTAGCCTACATCTGGACAAAGGCGGTGAAAACCATAGGAAAACCACTGGAAAAACATAGGAAAATGATGGAAAATGGTGGGTTTAACCAGCAAAAAATCGGGATTTCATTTATATCATGGGATTTATTTCGTTGATTGATGATGGCTAAGTTGGTGTAGGTGAAATCGATGGGATGTGGTAGATTTTGAACTGGTTGGTTGCTACTGATTTATTGGGACCATGGGGTTATAATCGGATTATCATCAAATAAGTTTAATCCATGTCAACTGCTGATTTATGGGGTTTTAATGAATTTATGGGTTTTAATCCATGTCAACTGCTGATTTATGGGGTTTTAATAAATTTATGGGGTTTTAATCCATGTCAACTGCTGATTTATAGGGTTTTAATGAATTTATGGGGTTTTAATCCATGTCAACTGCTGATTTGGAATTATCTCCCAATGACAGACAATTTTTGAGTGGAATATTACGACCAATTGTTAATTGTTGATAGGGATTCCCAGTTCATGGATAGTGATTGCAAATCCCCAAGATATTGGTTATATAGTATAATCCCCGAACTAATCACCAATCAGAAGGGCCGAACAGAAGATGGTGAAAATCTGGTGGTAATTACAACAAGAACCATCAAATGTTGCATCATATCACGCGGCACATGTTCATTCGATCCCTATTGAACATGTTGCGTGAAGAGCAGTGCTCCCAACACCCCAGGGCCGTTTTGGGGGGTAAATTGAGTAAACAGAGGTAAAAGAACCCAACCCATTTCCTCCCAAGAAATGCGTTTCACCGAAAAATTGGGCTGGAGCAACCCTGACTCATTATCAATAAGTATAACCACAATCTCAATCATCATAAAAACATTATAAAAACCCATGTCTTACCATTTATTCACCATTTCTTCACCATCAGTAACCACTCATCTACCTCCACTACCCTCTGGTTATGTCAAAATAGCTATTGAAAATGACCATAGAAATAGTGGATTTTCCCATTAAAAATTGTGATTTTCCATAGTTTTTCCATTAAAAATGGTGATTTCCCATTAAAAATGGTGATTTTCTATAGCTATGTTAGTTTACCAGAGGGTACCTCCACGATTTTCCATCGATCCATCGTTCCAGCGCCTTCATCCTTCAGCGCCGCCAGGGCCCGCTGGCAGAAGGGACAGGAGCTGCTGGAGAACACCACCATGTCCTCACCGGAAAAAACGAGTTCGTTCAATGGGGGGAAATGCAGGGGGAAAAACATGGGAATATCATCTGGTTGGTGGTTTTAACCATCTTGAAAAATATGAAAGTCAATGGGAAGGATTATCCCATATACTATGGAAAATGAAAAATGTTTGAAACCACCAACCAGTCATGGTGTTTTTTTTGATCACAAACCTCGCTGCCTGAGCACCAGACGTTGCTGTTCACCAACTCATCGACAGAAGGCATGTCTTTAGAACCCTTAGCTCCCATATAGATTCGTTGGCAACACGTGAGATGATCTTCTTCAAGCCAAAAGCTGCAGGAAAATAGTAATGTCAATGGGCATTTCAGGAACTAAATTGGAGGTACCTACCATATATATATATAAGGCCTATGTAAGGGCGAAAAAAATTCAAGGAATATCCCCACAAAATATGGCTGAATCCGATGGAGGTTATACGGCTATGGATCAGCTGCGAGCTGGGAGAGCAGCTCCAGAGGTCCAGGGATGGGGTTGTGACCCTGCTAGAGTCGATTTAGATCGATTTAGTATGAATCTGAAATTTAACCCATCCTGCAATCTTTTCTGAAGATCGAAATGGAGGGAATGTTCATTTTTGACTTCAGGATGACTACAACAACATAGAATTACGTTTTATCAAAACGACTAGCATGGGAGGAAAATGATGCTGAACCAAAACATCAGGACGACTTTATTTATATGTATATATCCATGCACATATTTGTGTACATATACACGGAAATGCGTAGCGTTTATATACATATATAATCATGCATAGCTGACCATGTACATATACACCAGATTATCTCATATTATATCATCACACATCATACAAAAGCCTACATGAATTCCTATATTAAAGCAATATGTTTTCCTATTTTCTTACACGTGTCAGTGATGAACCTTTTGCGCTCCCGCTCGAAACGATCGCTTCTTTTCGAACACCGGAGGACCCTGGCGCGGTGAAAAACTTCGCAAGATGTTTTTTTCTCCCGTGAAATCGCTAGTTGTTTAATGGGAAAAAATGTATATATGGTTGGTGGTATACCTACCCCTCTGAAAAATATGAGTCACTCAGTTGGGATTATTATTCCCAATATATGGAAAAATAAGTAATGTTCCAAACCACCAACCAGATACAGCAACCATGTGAATTGGGAAAAATTATGATGAACCATTAGGTATACTTTAAGGCGAAAATGATTGGAAAACGATTGGAACATGTTTCCCACAATTCTCTATCTCCATTGAATGGAAAGATGATGATGAACCAGCAGGTCGAAAAATGACATATTCTAATGCAAAAAACAGCCAAAAATTAACAGCCAAAAATTGGATCGATGGATGAATCATGGTATGCAAAAGGTTCCCAACTATCGTCACTCCCAGATTCATCCATAGCTCCTGTGGGTCAACCTTGGATTCGCCTTTGCAGAAAATCTGAGTTTTTAGCCAGTATTTAGTTTATCATTGAGTCAATAATGTGGCGTGATTTAGTAATGACGAGTTGAATCAGATATTTTGGTTGGTCAGTCTTGGGTTTATGTCAGTTTAATCAAGAAGAAAATCCAATTCTATCGCCATTTTAGGGGATATACAGCATAGCTTGTTAGTGTGTATCCCCATTCATAGCACAAGATGACTTAGAAAAAGTACCGTACCAAACCATCCACGCTTGACGCCATAGGGATGCTGATCCTTTCCCGGAATCTCCCGCCTTGTGTAGCCTAGCCACAAGCATGTGTCCTTGGAGAGACCGCTTTTTAAGCAGTAGGATTGGGATCAACATGGCATTCTTTGTACCGCTTGTGGATGGGGCTATCATATGGGGGTGTCCTGATTGTAAATTTTAAGGCCTACCCGGCCTATCCCATTCATCATTCATCCATGTTCGATTGGGATTTTCCATGAAATAAACATCAATAAACCATCCAGCGGGCGGGTATCCCCATGACTAAACCCCCATGGCTCCCCACATGGCTCCCCATGGCAACTGGGATGAGCTCCCAACGGGGCGCGCAGCCGGTGGCAATCGAAAGGAGCGCCAAACTGACCCCAGAGCTCTATGACCTGCCGCTGGAGAAACAAAAACATGGGTTTTGTCCATCGAAGTGGGTATGGGTCAATACCCATAAATACATTACTATAGTGGGATGAACATCCATTTACCAGCTATTTTGGGGTTCACTAGGTACCAGGGTTTTGACCCATCCCCAAGTCTGAAAAACACGGTTGATTTATCCATCCCGAAAAAAACATGCTTGTTGGTTTCGGATTCATGATGTTCATGATGGTAATCCCCTGGTGGCTCATTGGGTTGGACAAGCATGGACCCAAGTTGACTATTCGTGACTACGCAAAGGACTGTCAATGGCAAGAAGACTGGGAATTTCGGAATGTCATAGTTGGAACTGGCAAAGAAAGCCAGTTCGGTTGCATTGGCATATTCAAAGTTTCCAGCCCTTCATTTCAATTGGATTCAATTGGTAGTTCGTGGTTGTTTTGTCTATCCGTTGCTTGCGGTTTTGTCTTCGACACATGTCCAGTTCATTCTTGCTACCACAATTTGTTGATGCCAACATGATACGATTCAGCAGGACCAACATCAGTGGCTGCCAGGTGTATTCGCAAAGTGTGGCTGACACAACGATGACTTTTCCCAACAGCCCAGATGATGTTCCTGCTCAACCACGTGGCCAACAAGTGGTGGAAGTTCCATCCATTCAGTTATTCAATTTCAGGGCTGCAACCCATCCACGCCAACCCATCCACGTGATGTAAATGGCGGTTGGAAATGGAACAACCGCCAATGGAACAACCGCCAATGGAACAACCGCCGTGTTGGTCATTTGCCCAGTAGAAACGGTAAGTAGCACACCAACCACATAAGGCTTTGTCCAAACCCAGGCCACCCCCCACTCCAGATTCATCGAATCAGTTTCCCTTCAAAATTGATACTTGATGTGCAGGCACACACACTCCTTGTTTCTGGACATACCCTTTTCGAAAAAATTGCCATCCCCATTTCCAAAAAGATCCAAATCCCCGTGGTCATTGGCGAACTCCCCTGTTGGCTAACTCCCCTTTTTTTCTGTTGGATATCTCCCCTGTATGGATCCTCAATGGCTAAAAAACCAGTTCTAATCACCCAGTTCTACGCACAATTTCCATCATTGACACGTTGAATCCCCAATGTTCAACGTATCATTTCCCATTCAAATCGCCACTTTTATAGTGGGTGCCTTAAACCCTAAAGTATAGCCGATGACTTCGTCAACCATCGGGTTTTTCTACCAACAATCATAAGCCACCCATATGGATGGTAAGCTGGTTGGTGGTGCAATGACCATCTTGAAAAAAGATGGAGTTCGTCAATGGGAAGGATGACATCCCTTTTTTATGAAATGGAAAGTCATAAAATATCGTGTTCCAGTCACCACCAATCAGTAAGTCATCTAAAAGACAATACCCTGTGGTAAACTAACATAACTATGGAAAATCACCATTGTTTATCGGTAAATCAACTATAAATGGCAATTTTCAATAGCTATGTTAAATTACCAGAGGGTACTACAACAAAAACAAAAACAAGAACATGATATGGATGCTTTACCATCCCCCGTGACTCACCATGGCAAACATCCACGGCTAAAAAAAGCCATGGTAGTACGTCACTGGGAATGGTGGATACCATTCGTTGAACGTCTCCGAAACCATTTTCATTTGAAATAGACACTAAAACCATTCATTCTGAAAACTCATCTTATTTTCCCCTAACCATTTTCCATTGATAATGGCCATAGAAATAGTTGATTTACCCAGCGATAAAATGGTGATTTTCCATAGTTATGCAACAGTTTACCAAGCCGGGTATATCCACTAACATCCCTGTTTTTTGGTTGATTGAACCTCTATAATCACCATGAAAAATCCCATTAAACCATAGTTTTTTGTATAGTTTACCAGGCCGGGTAACCAGGTTTTGCGTCCAGAACTCACCTGCAGAATCTCCTCCATCACCCCAAACACCATCGTGGCCAAGATGAAGATCACCTCACAGGGAGTCCCAAGGTTTGAGAAGTGGGGCTATGCCAGTTCTCAGCGTGGCTTATATATATATATACTTATTTATTTATGTATCTATTTATTCATTTATCTAATTGATTGATTTATTTTTTCAATTGAATTATTTATTTATTTAATCTATTTATTTATATAACGCCCATGTTCTTCCTGAGTGCCTGTAAGGCTTTATATGGCAGTGGGAATAATATACAATGCCCATGTTTGGTGATATATACAAATTTTGATATCATGTTTGGTGGGTAAACCCCGCACTAGCTAGAAAAATAATCCCCATGCTATCCCCTTGATGCCTGATTTGTTGCCATTTTTTCAACGGCTGAATCCCCATTGGATGGTTAAATTCCCACATACCTCCATTTTTTTACCATCCAAAATCTCCTAGTTTCGCATAATTTAAACCATGCATACATAATCTGGTTGGTGGTTTTAACCATCTTGAAAAATATGAGTCAGTTGGGATGATTTTCCCATATATGAAATGGAAAAACAAAATTCATGTTCCAAACCACCAACCACATAATCCATGTTTAATATCTAAATCTCCTATTTGTTAACGGACAATGCCCCACAAAAAAATCAAAAATGTTGATGGACACTTCAGTGGGATGTTCAGTTCAAGCCATAGCCACGCGGCGATAGCCCGGCTTGAATGGATTTCAATGTTGTTCATCCGCCAGAAATATGGATACCCTCTGGTAAACATACCAAAAAAACTATGGTTTAATGGGATTTTTCATGGTGATTATAGAGGTTTTATCAACAAAAATCAGGGATGTTAGTGGATATACCCTCTGGTAAACTATACAAAAAACTATGGTTTAATGGGATTTATTGGTGATTATAGAGGTTCAATGAACCAAACAACAGGGATGTTAGTGGATATACCCTCTGGTAAACTGTACAAAAAGCTATTGAAAATGGCCCAGTCGAAATAGTAGATTTTCCCATTAAACATGGTGATTTTCCATAGTTATGTAACAGTTTACCAGGCCGGGTATATCCTAAAGCAACCCTTCGGCAAGATAGAGTCGTTGCAAACTGCCACCAGTTGGTATTTGGCAAACGAGTGGCAAACGACACGAGTTTTCTATCCGTTGGGGGATGACTTATCAAAAAACCCTGTTGATTGATGCTTCATCATCTGACTTTACTACCAGCTTCTACCAAAAACAATCCCCGGGACCAACCACATCCCGAGCCCAGTAGCCCAGTACCGGTTGAGCGGAGCCCAGTACCGCCAAAAAAAGATCTATAAGAACTAATTGGCCATCATGTCTGGATGATATCCGCAATTTTGTTGGCAACCAAATCCCTCTTTGATGGTGTTTTTAAAAAAATAGGGACTTGGAGGTCACTACTCACATGCGCCATGTTCAAAACATAGCATCCGTCCTGTAACATTACCATTGGAATCCTTATAAATAATAGGTATCTAAATCCCTGATCATCGGTAATAAAAATCTCAGCCAATGACATCAGTTTATAGCAACCTCCCAAAAAAGATAGAAGAGTAACCCTACTAAAATATCTAAAGTTGTAGTGATTTGTGACTTCGCTTCCCCAAATTGTGGGATAAAGCAATATAATAATGATAATATAAGTAATAGCTAGGATAAAAATGTATATCTTAGGTATAGTAACTTTTTGGGTGGTTACTACTTCAAAAAAATAGAAAACTATGGGTGAAGCCCCCAAAAAGTGATAACTGCCAACTATAGATGATCCTGGGTAAAGGAGGGATTTATGTCTTTTCCTCAGCTATCCATTCTTCATCTATTATTGTTGGTTGTATACCCATTATTAACCATTATTCACCACCACCACTATCAATATACTGAATGGTTTCCCATTATTGTGGTTAGTGGTTCATATTAAGAATGGGAAGTAACTATAGATAGTTAATACTAATAATATATACCCCTTATTCATAATAGCATCATGGTAAAAATGCTTGATTATATATATATATCCATTATATAATGGTTATATATAATATATCATATTCATAATCAATATATCATAGATCATATTCATAATCAATATGAATATTATGAATGGCAAAAATGATGAATCCTTATGAAACATGAATGGTGTTCCCTTCATGACTTCTCCGGTTCTTTGACCATCCCATGAATTGCCGCTCCAGGTGGCTGTGATGAACAGCACCAGCTTCTCCCACGCTGGCAGACTACGCCAGGCGAAGCTGGGCCTGGCGAAGCTGGGAACTCCTACTGTGGGGCCAGCGAAATCCTGCACCATGGATGGTTGAAACAGTTGAAAGCCTATCATGGAATAAACTGAATAAACCATCAACTGGTGCAGGATTCGCTGGCCCATCCACAGTAGGAAAAAACTTCATAGAACTTCGGAATACTTGGAATTCGTCGGAATGAGTGGAGATTGCTGATGGGAGAATTGATACACTTTTCTGTGCATCTAAAATCGGGGGCTATAAAGACGTTTCGTGCAACTTGTGACCGTTTCTGCGTCGTTCTGAAGTGAATGTATACGGATTGAGGATATAATCATTCATATGAGTACGTACTGTCAGCATATGCAACTGCTTTCGCAGAATAGGGATGTAATGAACAATGCTTATACGGTAGACTCAACAATGGGTAGACCCATGTTCCTGCTCGTTGGGAGATATATTATTTCCCAGGTTGTGTTATTTAAAAAAAAAACTGACAAATCTAAAAAACAGGTACTGGGTTTCCCAACTCAATTCCAAAATCCCCATTAGGCCCGGCCCGGCCCATATCCCAGTTCGTCTGTGACGCTTGCACCGAGCAAAAACGCGCTTTCACATTCTAAAACCTAGCGGGGGTGCACATGGAATTCGTGTAAGAACCCTTATAAACATCAACCACAAAAGCGTTGGGCGGATTATATAAGGATGACCAAAATCCCATAGATTTGCAAAGCCTTAGACTCTTAGATAGACTTCAAAGAGATCATGATTGGCTGGCTACTAAATATGTAACATACCCCCAACTACCTGACGACCCTGCCACATAGGCGGGTGGAAAACTACTTTCATCTAAAATTGGCTTGTCTCAAAGTCAAACTGTTCATTCGCATTTTATCCCATCACAACACCATTTCTGTTAGTTGAATCACCATATGTTGATGGTTAAATCAGTTAAATCACCATATTCGATGCTTAAACCACCATATCTGATGGTTAATTCACCATTTTTCATGATAAAACACCACCATATGCGTTGGTAAAATCGCCATTGGAGAGCCATCCAGGTTTTCTCAGCACCTGGAAGACACAGATCCTCCACTGCTGGAAGACTCGGCGTAGGAGAGCTTTCCATCTGTCCCAGCTGCTGCACTTGGGGGAATCATTGGTCATTGGGGATATATGGGATATGAATTTGGCAGTTTAGGATATAAAAAATGGGATAGAATGTTGGGAATTTAAGCGAAATCTAGTTTGGGATATAGTTACTATAGTTCTAGGATTTAGATGAAATGCTGTGCATCCACTGGGGATACAACTCAACCAACATTCACAGCGAGAGATGATCCAGAAAATCGCTGGAAATGACCAACATCTGTCTGACAACCTTGGTTTCCCAGAATTGGTGTCAGGGGAAATCTACAAGAAAACCCTCGGCTTGGAGAAAAAGAAAGTAGGTCTTCCCCCAAATCAATCCAATGAATGTTGGTTTATATCCCATGTCCCAATGATTATATCCCCATTATATCCTCATTGAACCCCCATGAAAGCAGTTAGAAATAGCCACGTCCGCAGCATGATGGTTATATTCCAGTACATCCCACTATATCCCATTACCCTCCCCAAAATGAACGTGGACCCTGAAGATATACGACTTTTAGTGGAACAATGCGGAAAGTAGAAACACTCATGGCAGGGTCTATGTTAATTTGGGGGAGGTTATTGGATTAAATCATTTACTGGTTATTTAACATAGCCATGGTATAGATGGCCCTAATCGAAATAGATGGTTTACCTATTAATAGCATGGTGATTTTCCATGGCTATGTTAGTCATAACATGTCATGCCCATTTATAGATGGTTTACCTATTAAAATGGTGATTTTCCATGGCTATGTTAGTCATAACATGTCATAACCAGATGGTAAATTCGACCTTCCATTCCAAGTCCCAAAATCGCCAGTGATTCTCCCTGCCTTCATGGGGTTCCATGTCCACACTGAGCTCTACGGACTCCTTGCAGGATGGGGCTTGGGGCTTGGTCGCCTTGGTCGGCTTCGGTCGTGGATTCTGCTTCAGTCCTCCCAAAAAAAACGACCGATTCCCTACACTGTGGATTTTTCCATTGAGAAAATAAGACATAACCTCCCGCAAATCCAGGAAATGGGGGATTTACGCCCCATTTCAGAAATGGCAATTTCAATGGGAAGTCCAGGATGATTTTTTGGGAGGATTCCGCGTGACTTTTTGGGGGGGTCTATGATTCCGTGTGAAAGTCCAATAAATCTTAGGCTTGTACGCAGATCATCGCAGATCTGGTTTCTGTTTTCTTGAATCCAAGAAAAGACAGCTTCACTGAAATCAGGGGGAAAAAGACCAAGAACACGTGAGTGATAAGCAAACTCTTCTTCCCAGATGTTTCCTAAAATGGGGGTACCCCAAATCATCCAAAATGATACCATTTTAGTATTGAAACCAATGCTTTTGGGGATCCCCCATTTCAAGAAACCTCCATATTATGGAATGTTCCCCCCTTGGAAAGGTGAAAGGTCCTCTCGGTCGAGGGAATTTTCCTCAGATGCCTCCTCTCTTCCTGCGATGGAGATGGCAAGCTTTCACCCTGCTAACCAGGCTGAGGCGTTTTCTACGTGGGAATGCGCCAGTGGAGAAACTGGCTATCCTTGACACTCACATACTTATTGGATCTTGGTTCAATTTTGCTGACCTTTCATTTGCAGGGTTCCCTACATTACATTCTGAGCCATGCCCTTTAAAAGTTCCGGCAGCTTCGTAATGAATATTGCAACTGTGGTTCCCTTGGTGTGTCTAAAAATGAAATGGGGATAAATGGGGCATATCCCCGAACGACCATTTGAATGAATTTCTCAAATGTTGGATTTGGGGTGTTTCCCCTAAATTGTCAGACGCGTTTTCATGGCTGCGTAGCTGACATGGCGAGAGTTATCCCAAAAAATGTGATGCCTCAGAGCTGTGCCGCTGGGTTCTTGGATACAGACATGGCCATTGGTTCAGATTTAAAAAAAAACGCCCCAAAGGTCGCCTACTGGGTCAGGTTTCTTAAAGTAGGGTACCCCAACTCATCCAAATTTCTTCATTTGTAATGTCAACCCTGGATTAATAAACCCCCGGGCTGTTTAATTGGGAGGGTACCATTTGAGTATCAAATCATGACTATTGGGGGAATACCCCCCTCCGGTTTATTAATCCGGGGTTGGCATTAATTAGGAAACCAATGCAAATACACCAAGTGGTTTTTGCGGCCCCATTGTGAGAAACCGCCATTGGACGTGTGATGAAGTGGCCCACTCTCTATGTGCTTCAGAGCGTCTACTCGCAACTTCACTAGGACATCCGCAACGGCGATCTGATGATATAACAGCAATTCTACGGCGAATCCAGAACTACCTTGAAACTCACCAAACCTCCTCCCTTTCCAACAAGCAAACAGTGTTCGACGCATTGGAAGGTCGCTTCAGCCCATCCCAGTGTCATCCCAGTAAGCGCCTTTGGCCAGGAGGAAGAATGCGATCGGGAAGAGGAAACTGATGGGCCCTGACAAGGCTCTTTAGCCACTGTGGTGCTTTGAGTTGGAAAGTCGGGATTCGAAACTAGTGCTTGAGCCACCCCCAAAAAACAACTAGTATGAAGCATAAAGTCAGTTGGGATCATCGTCCCATTTCTAGGATGAACATGAAAAATACTCGAAACCACCAACAAGGTATATGATTCGAAACTAAGAACCATTAGACCAACGGCATCTCTATGACATCATCCCATTGGTTACTTTGAGTGTCCATAACACTGCTGTCCTCTGGGTAGAAATGGATGAGTTTCCCTTCTCCTACCGCTAGCACGCCATGTGTTTTTCTCCGAGTGCGCTCTTGTGGTGTCAGCATTTGCAGGTTGACAGAGGCCGACGTGGTGGGCCTCAATCTAGGTGGCTGCATGATATCGATTCTGCCTATCGCCACAGCCCCTGAAGGCTGGTTCATCCAAGGTTTACCTCTCTGAAGAAGGATCAATTGATGCATCAGCTCGGCAAAAATCCTTGTTGGCCGATTGGTTCTAATTTCTTCCCGTGTTGACAACTCGGGCAACCAAAAACCCATAGGTTTAGTTCATCTACTACTGAGGGACTAAAAACCATGAACGGGTGAGGGTAGCCTTTTTCTGCAGTGAGTTTAGGGAAATCCCTACTTCTGCTTAGCTGACATACCCAACGACGAACGCCATAGAGGCAGTGGCCAACAGAACCCAACTTGGACAATGCCGACGGATCTTCGGACCCAATGGCCGCCATGGCTTTGATAACAGCTATAACCCGATTTTTTCTGTTCCACCACTCACTTCCCCGGAGCATTGTCCAGAAACGAGATAAAATCAATCATTGTCGCAAGCCCACTCGCAAGCCGCGATTGCAAGGAGAGGACCTTTGGTAAGCCAAGGACAGGGAAAGGCTTTCCTGAGGTCAGCATGACCTGCGAAAATGAGCTCCTTGATGGCTAGACAGTCTGTGAGAGCGCTTCTTGGTCCATGTGAACTTTCAGAAATCTGGGATTTAGATCATTTTAGATCTATATAGTGTGTATTCATTTTAAGTATTCCCCAAAGATATAAGATATTCATAGATATTCCCAATGATGGAACAAAGGCTTGCAGCTGGAGCCCCGAGGCATTTCCCTGTCCTTCCCATCGAATCAAATTGGAACTAGCGCCCAGCTTGTTGCACATCCAGCTTGGTGCACGCAAAGCGCAGCTCGCAACAAGACCGGTATCTCAAAAAAATGTTGTGGGACCACATGGCCATCCCCTAAGATGAAAATTGCTGGCTGATAAGTCTGTGGATCTTCATCCAAAAAAACCATGGGTATCATAGGTTCTACCAATCCCCATATCTACTGGCTGGTGCTTTAGCAACATGTTTCAACCCGTTCCAAAGCTTGGAGAGCCTCCAGATATGTTTTTTGGGAACTTCGATGGTGAATTCCCGTCGCTTCCCGAGGATCTGTTTAGATCTTCTTCGTGATTTGGTGGCGCGCCCGGCCTTGTCGCCTCTTGCTACCGGTATGAAATGGAAAACAACGGTCGCACGTTGTCTTGGTGCGGGTCTTCATATGGCATGGGCAACTTTGCGACTCACTGTGGGCATGCATCAATGATGATTTCACTGGCTTACCCCATCTGACACTGGATACATCTTGGCACTGGATACGTTTTCTTTAGTGACTTTGTCGGTTCAGCCCGCGCTGCGATCGCAAAAAGATAAGACCCAGAAGCCAGGAGGTGAGACGAATTTCTTCCGCCTTTGCCAAACTCCCAAAAATGGCGAAGGACCAATACCACTCATCAGCCCCGGATCCGAGCCGTCCTCGGGTTTTCGGAACGAGTTCCTTTGGACGAAGCTTGGGTATCGAGAGGGATTTGAAGTTTTCAGAACTTGGGCAACTTGGATCTACTGGTTGCTAGGCATTCTGGGAAAAGAAATCCACAGCACCAAATGCTAAACAGAAGGCTACACCTGACCACACCTGTTCCTCAGGAATTAGGAACTTCCGCCGGTGCAAAAGTCTGGCGAATCAAACATAGCAATGGAACATACCCCAATTTTGATGATTTTCCCATTGAATTAGCCATTTTAGCTCTGGGATCTCCACTTGCTATGTTTGACTGCCGGGGGCCAATGTGCTGATGGTTTGCTTGGTAGTTTGGAGCCAAATACGGTGTCCACATCTTCACTTGGCAAAGTGGCCGGTCTTCCTGTATATTTGTCCAAATCCTAGCTGTGGTTTCATCAATTCGATTCCATCAATTCATCTGTGTCCATCCGGAATTTACATGAATTTACTCCTCATCTAGAAAAAATCATCGTCAACTCGTTTACAAAATCATGTTCTGTTCATTTTTACGCCCACGGCAAAATTCTCCATTGATATGGATCCCAATCCAGCGCCTGGATTTCCTATGGCCATGCTGGAGGGAACCGGAGGGGACCCGGAGATCATGTTTATTCGTACTAGGATTATCCAAAGCTAGCAACTGCTTGGTCAACTGGCTATTTCACACCAAGTGCGATATATCAACGGATGACAGTGGATAAAACCGAGGTCCTACACATCAACACGTTGCACTGGCTTCATATTGAACCTCAACCTGAAGATGTGTTTCTTCGGTTCCTACCTTGTTTCGCTCGCCCAAGATCTAAGAATTTCCGATGGATCAACTGGATCATGTTCGGCTCATGTTCAGTGCCATCTTTTTGGGTCAAAAATCATCCAATGTTTGATGACCGATGACAACAACCCAATGCCCTGGTGGTTGGAAAACCTCAGTGAAGTAGTCGGTGATGACAACGATTGTTAGATTTATTCGGATTAGCTTTATTAGGTCTGGAAAATAGAAACCATTTGAACCCATGAAGCCTGAAACATATATTGTATTGCCCATTCTTGTGGCAGAAAATGTCGAAAATGTCTACACCGTTGTTGAAATCCCCCATCTTTATCGAACGACACCTGCGCAAATGAGGGTAAGGGTTGCAAAGTCGAGCTTTGCGCAAGGTTGAGAAATGCCCACCATTTTTGTTTGAAGGCAAGCATACCTGAAATCAGGTAATCTGAACTTAGGTATATTATATAGACAAATCCGAAAAGTGGGTAATCGGGCAGGCATTGTTTTTGATGCAACCAAATATGGGTGTGTCCCAAGATGGTGTATACCCAACATCCATGAGTTGATCATCATGGGATCCACGTGAAACTGTGCCATCAAATTGCCGTCAACCCCATTTTCAGACACGCCTACATGAAAAAGAGTGCATCTTCATTTTCCCACATATTCCGACATGTTTTATCCCATTGTTTGCAATTATAAGCCCATTTCATATCATAACAAATGTGGTGCATGCCCAATTATTCATCAAGCTCACTAATATCAAGTATTGTTGATTAAAAACACCAAGTAACCAACCAATCATGGCTGAATATGGCTGAATACGTGGTGGATCATCCCCCGAAGAAAGTGGTTGTGGGTTGTAACATGTTGTGGTTTTTCTAGTGGATTAACCTGCTCCTTATCCCACTAAGAAAACTTGGGATATAACTGATATAACCGTTAATATAACCCACAACCACGATTCATGGGATGATACACCGAGTACCCTTAAATCCATTGATGTTTCAACAACTCTGGTACCATCGATCTGAAACTTCTGGGTTTCCCGTCAACGCCGAGGGGCGGCTCAAGCGCCTGGCAAAAAAAGGTGTTGCCTTCAGAAGCTTTCAGGCCTTAAAACCCACCATTTCTGCCCCTTGGATCTCCATTGTTCGCTTTCAAGAGTCCCTTAAAGCCCCAAAGGATCAAAGACTTAAAGTGTCAAGGTCTTCATCTTAATTGGTTTTATATGGGTTTTATGCCCTAAAAACCTTCATGTTTGGAAGCCAAGCCATTCCCAGAACTTGCCATTTGTAACTCGGTGTCCCTGAGGCCGTACGTACCTGCGGGTTTCGAAAACTAGTCTTGAAATCCCAAACAAAATTTATCAGTTACACTCAATTGGGATTTCAAGACAATTACATACAATTACTGGTTGGTGGTTTCAACCGTCTTGAAAAATATGAAAGTCAGTTGGGAAGGATTATTCCCAATATATGGAAAAAGAAGAAATGTTCCAAACCACCAGATTATTTCCATAGGAATCTACCTTGGTATTTCACTCAATTTCAATTAGTCTATCCACCCTTCGTCACTTACATAGCTGTGCCTTGAAAATCTTTAAGATACCCTCTAGTAATTTGTTACGTAGCTATTGAAAATGGCCATAGAAATAGTAGATGTTCCCATTAAAAATGGTGATTTTCCATAGCTATGTAACAGTTTACCAGAGGGTACCCATGATTTCTACGGATGGAGAATGTCTTGGGATGCCATCAATTCATCGGAGAAAAAATCCAAGCGCCCCAGGCCCCACATCCCTGGCCTGTCTGGATGGGCCTCAGTGTCGATTCAGCCGCCAGTGCTGGGTCAGGGATCCAGTCATTTGGAGCCATGAAAACTCTGAATCATTGGATTGGTTTAAGGGAAAATCTACAGGAAACCATGATTTTACCATCAAATATAAGACTTTCCTGTAAATTTTCCCATCATCCAATTCTATGACTCAAATTTTTGGACAGGTCCGGATATGAAAAACTGGATGTTGATGGAGCTGACAAAAAACCTAATTTTCCACAGGAAAAAAAAGAGATGATATATATATATATGATATATCTATCAAACCAAATACAAGTATGAGTCCGTGTGGGACAAATTCTAGGACCATTTGTGGTTGTTGCTCCTCGAGTTTGCCAATTCCCTTGTGCGAAGAGCTACTGAATTTAGGCCTGAAGCTTCGTAATTGGTTTAAGAATGAATTCTCCCGTAACCAAACATGGCCGGCCAGAAAACCTGTGCATATAGATATAATTTAGATGTATATACAATATCTGTCTGCAATATGCGTACGTATCATATATTTCTTATTATATACATAAATATATATATATATACCCTCTGGTAATTTAACATAGCTATTGAAAATTGCCATTTATAGTGGATTTACCCATAAACAATGGTGATTTTCCATAGTTATGTAACAGTTTACCAGAGGGTATATAGCGCCTTTGTAATACTGTACATGGTTTTCTCATTCGCCAACCCGCCAACCAGAGGTCATCTCCCACTCTCAGGCACCCCACTCTGCTACCGGTGCATCCTGGGAATTCGACCGGGGGCGAATTCAAAACTGACCCTGGGATCTGGTCATTTAACACCAACAGTACCCTCTGGTTATTTAACGTAGCCATAGAAACTCACCATTTTTAACGGGTAAACCATCTATAAATGGGCCATCTATACCATGGCTATGTTAAATAACCAACAGTAATAATTTTAGCTCTCAGACGGTAAACTGGTAAACTTCTTCCAAAAAAAGGTGGTAAGTATTGACCCATCCTCATGTACAGCTCACAAAACCCTATGTAAAAATCTCTTCAGATATTGTTCTTCTGCTGTGAGCTCAGTCTAGTCTTGGTTTAGACTGCGCCCGCTCGGCCTCTTCAGATATTGACTTAAATCAAACCACTGGACATGAAGGGGATGTCCCAAATTGGAACATCCTCCTGGATGATTCCCAATGGGAATACAACCGGGGATCGCTATGGCTATGGATCAAATTTCACAGTACTAATCACCATGTTCCCAAGGGAAAGCGAACCTTTTGAGCCCAAAGCAACCACAACTGAGTAGAGAAGAAACACAAGGTGAGGGCTGTTTGTTCGGGAGTGTCCCACCATGCTTGCCTTCACAAGCGGATTCTTGTCCTATGCAGTCCAATCTTTGAAAGGGATCACGCTTACTTGGTGGGTCCCCAGAAAAAAATGGTGATATTTGACAGTCTGGTTCAATCTAGAACCTCGGATAAGAATCTAGATAAGGATCAGCACTTGAAATCTGTGTCTGGGACTCGGAAGGCCCAATGCACAAGCCCACAAGTCATCGTAAACAAAAGGCTTACACTGCAACACACTGCAACAGCAAATTCCAATTTCAAGGCTATGTCCCTGAGAATTAGCATTTGTTGGTCGCATCAAGTTCTGTTTCTGTTTTACTGGTGTGTTTTCTTAGAGTCAGAGAGAAATCCTACTTGTCTTCTTAATCACGTGGCTGTTCCCGCACTAAAACAAAAGGTACCAACCCCCACATCATCCAAGTCATTTAGACTATGTTACTATTTAAACAACCATGTGGCATCCCCCGCATGTGGGCAATACACAAATAGTAACCCCCTAAAAGACAAGTCACAAAGTGTGAGACCAGAATGGTAGTTCGATCATATTTACCTCGTATGGGGATTGTGGTTAAAACCTATTATATATTACCATAGTTGGGGAATTACCATCCATTCACATCCATTAATGGGAGTTAAACCTATTATTACCTAAGCTATTAACCTTAATTGTTTAACACCAAAATAGGTAATTCCCCATCCATTGTGGTTAAAACCTATTAATACCATAGTTGGTGTTTACCAATTGTTTAACCACTAGCTCCGGCCTCTGTCTGCGTGGGCACAGGGGAGGCCCCGATGACCTGAAAAAAGCGCTGTCCAAACCTTGTGGTCCCTTTGATATACGACTTACTTATAAAATATCATGTAATGTACCTTATTGGGTATGATATTCTTATCTTTATCATTATTATTATATACTATTATTACTATTGACTGTTATTATCACTACTGTTATTATGATTGAAATTGTGTAGACTATGGTTATTGTGCATATCTTTAATAGATTATGATTCCCCCCTCTATATAATAGCATGTATATTCTCAATAATCTATCTATAATACCCCATGCTGAAGAATCTGAGTGGAGGTTACAATCTCAATGATACCAATCATGAATAACATAGAACAAGCTATTGTATACTCTTTAAGATCTCTGTTGACAACTGAACTGAACATCGGTTTTTTGGCCAATGGCCAACGATGGCGTTCCCAGCTAGATGACCGAGCAGTCCCCTATAAAAAAAGTGGGTGATCGTTCATGTCACTTGTAAGTGGGATAGGTTTTTGGGGTTTAATCCACTTACAACTGGGGTGAACAACAAATCTAGCCCAGTTATATTAGTTCTATTATCCATATATAATACCTAATCCAGTATATGAATAACTTAATCCATCGCCAGTTATATTAGGGCGCCCACTATAGCCGGTACGGTACTACTACGCCGATTCCTGGGATGATCCACCAGAAAACCATCCACCACGTTTCCACCTCTGGAGCCGCATGCTCCACAGGATAAGGAGTTCCGGCAATGACCTGGGGCTAAATGACTGTTGAAGAGAACATGTACAGGAATTACCCGGCCTGGTAAACTATTACATAACTATGGAAAATCACCATTTTGTGGCTGGATAAATCCACTATTTCGACTGGGCCATGTTCAATAGCTTTTTGTATAGTTTACCGGAGGGTATCAGTGAACATATTGAAACATGTGGCTTTCCGGATTTTTTTTTGCTGGAAACTTTGGGGAGATAGAAATTACGCATCGCATCCCCCTCGCCCCAATCTTTGTTCGAGGGTTTCATTCGGGGGGGAACATACCCTCTGGCAATTTGTTACATAGCTATGGAAAATGACCATAGAAAGAGTGGATTTTCCCAGCTACAAAATGGTGATTTTCCATAGTTATGTAACAGTTTACCAGAGGGTAATGTTCGAGGAAAGGTATTTGTATAACTTGCTAGTCGTCCTATCGATTTCCCACGGTTTTTACCACTTGGTAGGTCATGGTAGGCCGGTATATATCTAGCAAACACTACCGATATACTCCCATCTATCCCGATATATACCCCTAAAAAATAATCTGTGTATCTGCATAGCAAGAGTTCACTAACCTGTAATAAGGCCATTTGGGTTGATTCCCATTCCTGACCATCATTTGATGTGAGCTTGCAGTGAGGTTGTTATTGTTTATCTAGATGTATACAACTTATTATAAAATATCCCTCATATGGATCCAAAATGAATACATCCAATACTAAACCATGGTTTCGAGGGTGGTATTGAATAGGGGGAAGTGATTACTCGTCTATTGATATTAGGTGTGTGATTGTTGTAACACTATACACCCCTAAAGACAACCGATACATATATATATATATATACATATTTATGAATATACATATATATATACAAATATATATATATATACATACATACACATATTTATATAGATATACATGCACATATCTATAATATATACACATAGTTGTATGTATATATATATATACATACACATACTTATATATATATACACATATTTATTTATATATATACATTATAAACATGTGTGGCCGATTACTATGTGAATTCATGTAAATATATAAATATATAAACTATATAAATAGATAAATATAGATATGATATAATATATATATATACCGTCATCCTGAGGAGTAGATTGAATATGGAAAAACATCTATTTGAAAACAAAAAAGAAACGTTGAACATGTTTTGGTTTCTATGAAAACATTCTATATTCTGGAAAACAATAAATGGTTTGAACTTCATATGTGAAAAACATCATATTCTATGAAAACGCTAAAATCATCAAGTTTAAATCATTCAATGTTTCATATTCCATATTCATTCGATATACTTCAGGATAATTTAAACACACACAAAAAAAAAAAAATCATGGCCTGCTGCACGACCTGTGCAGGTTCCTCCTGAACAGGATGATTGGGAGATATATATACTTGGGACAACAAAAATTGAGATATCTCGGATTTGACAAGTTGAAATGCCAAACATGGAAAACAAAACATGGAGATTTTTCACCAACAATGGGATATTGATGGGATATTTTTACCCTCTGGTAAACTGTTACATATCTATGGAAAATCACCATTTTTAATGGGAAAATCCACTCTTTCTATGGTCATTTTCCATAGCTATGTTAGTTTACCAGAGGGTATTGATGGGATATTTTTAACCAACAAAATGATTTCTCTGAAAATGGGGGTACCCCCAACTTTGATGGTTTCGAGAAAAGCTCGTGTGAGCCTCGTGTTCACCATTGAAATATGCATTGAAACTTGCGGGTAGGGGTCCATGTTCAGACACCCAAACAATTACCCTCTGGTAAATTGACATAGACCCTGACAGATAGGGGTTGGAAGACTAGTTTCCATGAAAAATTGGTGATTTTCAGGGTCTATGTTAATTTACCAGGGGGTATATAGTTTCTATTGGTTTGAAGCATTGAACATGTTCCCTCCAAAATGTTCAGATCTCAAGGATCTAGGTGCACCAGCCTAAACCACCAGGATCACCAAGTTATCATGTGCTGAGACATGCAAGCAATACCCTCTGGTTATGTCAAAATAGCTATTGAAAATGGCCATTTGTAGTGGATTTACCCATTGAAAATGGTGATTTTCCATAGTTACGTTAGTTTACCAGAGGGTAAATCATCCAGATTTGGGACAGAACAAAATAAGATGGGGATAAAAAGCGGCCACTGAGAAATTGATCGGTTTTTAAGCCACAGGAAGCTTATGAATCCAAGAATTACTAGATTGCTAGACTTTTTGAGATGTTGGGGTGTTGTAAGCCATCTATAAAAATAGATGTATGTAATTGTTGCATTTGCCACACTGAAGACCAAGTACATTGGTTCACCAATCCCAATAACGTCAAAAAACAAAAAATCATCCCGCGCATTTTACACCTTGGTAAGTCCCTACCCTCTGGTAAACTAACATAACTATAGAAAATCACCATGTTTAATGGGAAAACTCACTATATACTATATATAAATGGCCATTTTCAATAGCTACGCCAGTTTACCAGAGGGTACCCCATCAGTCGCTAACCCAACAGCTATGACTCCTGTCTGGTTGGCTCGGTCTCCACGTCGACTTCACGCACGGAGCCCTGGGTGGTGCTTCCAACCTGCGGTACTTCCACGACCTTCTCGACCACTTGGACCTCGGTTGCTCGGCAGCTCGGCAGCTCGGTGTACCAAAAAATGGGGGATAGGTATCCATCAATAACTAATATTGGGAGGTACTGTACCATATAAGGCCATATTTTGTGGGGATATTCCCTTACATAGGCCTTACTTAGGCCTTATATGTGGTAGGTACCTCCAATTTAGGTTCCTGAAATGGCCATTGAATATTGGTTAACTAACTAAAAACTAATTCATATTGGTTAACTAATTATCATATTTACTAACTCATATTGGAAAATGAAAATTTACGAACTAATATTGGTGAACTGTTCAATGACCAGCCATAGCTATCCCCCATTTTGAATAATCCATATGAACGAACTATCATGAGGATATGACTGGGATATGAACGAACATATTGATGAACTATGATTATTGGGATTGTATTCTGATTTTTATGTATGTTTGGGATATTCTTGATAACTATTCATAAATTATCATTGTTGGGATATTGGTATTAGGATATTGTTATTCGTACATTGTTGTTGGGATATCAGTGGGATATCCATGGTATATTAATGCGGTATTAATAGGACATGAATGATTATGAATGGGATGTTAATGGAGTATAATATTATGTAATCAGCAATCTCACTAGCGCACCCTCCGATGTCCTCAAACATGGCTAGGAAATTCAACAACTAAATGGACATTCAAATGGGAGAATGATCTATAGTTGGAGAATGTCACCTTCTGATATTGTTGCATAGCTATGGTATAGATGGCCCATTTCAATAGATGACTTAGCTCTTATTTTCATGGTGATTTGGTTTTCAGTTGCCAACTGTTAGATTACCAAAGGGTAGCAATTTGCTTACCCTCCGGTAGTCAAATGTGGCGATGTAATTTCACCCATTTAGTTCTAGGATAACTCCCATTCGAAACCTCCATTTAGTTCGGGGACTAAATAGCAGCTTGCCATGTTTGATTATATCAGAGGGTACACCATCTGGTTGATGGTTTCAACTTACCCCTCTGAAAAATGATGGAGTGAGTTCGTCAGTTGGGATGATGACTCATTTCCCAAGTATGATGGGAAAGTCTAATCAAATTCCATGGTTCCAGTCACCACCAGCCATCTATTTTTATTGGGATTTTAACAGCCTTCACTGTCCAACTGTCCAAGGGACGAAAGGAACCTCCACAATCTTCTCGATGGTCTGAACCTGGTGGGCTTTCCAATGGTCATGGGGATACCGGGATACCCAAATAAATGGATGAGACAAATGGGCTACCCCCATGACTGGATGAAAACCTCCAAATGGCGAAGCTACAGTCACCAACACAGTGGATAGCTACAGTCACCAATGGGTGGGCAAAGGTTGGCTGGCCCTTGCAAACTGCGATTGGGGCATTGATGGGTTTTTGTGGGGTTGTGGTACAATTCTTGTGGATTTCGAAGGCGCGATTTGATACTTCAGCACTGGCACCAAAGTCATCAGCAGGCCCGACAGCACGAACGGCGACAGTTCAAGCCAGTGTTATATTGTACGTCTTCAAGTTTGACCTAAAGCCAGAGAATCCACCTCAAAATACCATCAAAATGTCCGAAAATGGTCAAGTTGTGATACCCCCTGGTAAACAGCCACATAGCTATGGAAAATCACCATTTTTCATTGGAAAATCCACTATTTCTATGGCCATTTTCAATAGCTATGTTACAAATTACCAGAGGGTAAACCATCTCTTTGGTGATCTCCGAAACAAGAAACTTCGGTTTTGTGCAAAACCAAGTTCTGTCGGCGGCACGCCATTCTGAACCCATGAAAAATTGGCGCATTTTTTGGGATTTCACGCAGCTGAAAATACGGCACCAAAAAAAATCCATTGGCTGATCATCATTTCCCTGACGAAAATCACCCTAAAGTGGTAGAAAATCTGTTTTTTTATCGTTTTTTTGTTGCACAAACCCATCACAGACCTTCGTGGGATTTTGTTTTCCTGTTGTACTCATAGCTATATCTTGTTTGGTGTTATCCCCATGATCTAGTTTCTATCGTTTCTATCGGGTGTTTCAACATGTTTCGCCCCATGAAATCATTGCCCATCCCCCAGCCACCAGCGCCCCAGGGCCTGAGGCACTTCCACTTGCTTCACCACTGGCACGTCAATCACCTTCTCCAGGGTCTCGATGACGTTCACCTGGCGACCCACAATGGGTACCCAAGAAGTTGAAGCGATGGCGATTGGAGGTACCCTCTGGTAATTTAACGTAGCGAACTGGAAAATCACCATTTTTAATGGGAAAATCCACTATTAATGATCATTTTCAATAGCTACGTAACAAATTACCAGAGGGTACCTATACCATCGATAGATATATTCTGTATGAAAAGCTCTATTTTTGGAGGATCTGTAAGGGGATATACCTCCAAAATATGGTCAAAAATTTGGTACAGTCTTTCCAGTTTAGGTACCTGAAATGGCCATTGATATGTTGGGGGCTTGATTTTTGACCAAAAAGGGGGATGGCGTAAGAATTTGCCATAAATGTGTTAATGGTTTCTTCAATCGCCGTTCTGAACCTAGTGGATAGCGATAACTCTATCAGGGGTTAAAGTTTCAAAAACCATAGGAAACCATGGGTATTACATGGTATTACTGTAATGTTAACCCAGGATTGATAAACCCCCAGTTTATTACTGTAATAAGGCTGGTGCCAAAGGAAGTGATATATCCCTTTATAAATGGGACCCCCCCAATTAGTAAATTCGGGGTCTATTAATCCTGAGTTGACATTACTGTTCAAAGTCAACGATTTCAAGTGGGTTGTCCTTTTCACAACTTACTCTGGAAAAATTACGACTTGGATGTTCACGACAGGTTGGCGCTTCGGTCCCAAAGTTTCCGTTGAGTCTGGTGGAAACAAAAACACCGCCTTGACGCTTTGTGGTACCCCATGGTGCCCTCATTCTGGGAGTAACCCCGGAGCAGCGCCCAAGGTGAACAGCAGAAAGGATGGATGGAATTCGGCTCTTCACGTCTCAAGAGATGTGTAAGAACAAAGAATACAGGTTGCTTCGACTTGAACTACTTCAACGACTCCCAATGTTTAAGGCTTGCTACGTCTTCCCCCATACCTATGGAGCTTCTCAACCGAGGACCCGAGGACATCCCAAGAATTTCGGGTACCACAGTGCCATTGGTAGGTCCCTTGGCACTGGGAAAAGGGATCTATGTGGAGGTTGCCATAAATGACCCGTACCCCGCTGGACGGTTTATTTCATGGAAAATCCATCTATGGATGATAACTGGGGATTACCCCCATGACTTTGGAAACCTCCATATTTTTAGTATAAAGGGGTCCCCAAAAAGATGTCGAAATCGTCCCAGTACCCAACCCAGTACCCCACCTCCACTGGACGTTCCACTGGCACGTGGACATGCACGTGTCGCGTCTTCTGGACCGGGATGTGCACATGGTTGTCCTTAGAGATCGAGCCACAAAATCTTCACCTCTTTATGTTGAGAGAATCTCATGGTGCCTTAGTAGATACATCCAAGCTTTGTTGACACTGAACACCACATATTTTGGGTAAGAGCAATTTTGGGGGGAGTAAATTCTTTGAGCCATACGCACATGAGCGACAAAAAGCCGCAGAGATACCGCACTTTGCCCATTCAGAAAAGCGCAAACACTGCACACTCAGGTCCAAGAATGAAGATCCACACTGTTTTGGGTCACTTTCTGAGTTGCATTTGGTCAAGTCCACCATCTGGATTTGGATCAAGGAAAATCAGCCAGCATGGGTTGCATTACGAGGGGCCACGTACTCGATTTGGGGGATCTCTACGGTCTTCTCGATCTGCGACAGGTCAAAAAAGTGAAAACCAGTCGCTTCAGATGGGGGGAGTCTTCCGCTGCTTGAAGAAACTTGAAAAAAGATAGATCTTTGCGGCTGAATTAGGCTATACAGTAGTTCACCCGCACGGACAATGGCATTTTTTGGAGGGAGGCTCCTCTTACTAGTCATTGTTTGCAGTGAAGTCATGATGAAGGTCGTTGGAAATAAACATAGAAAAACAAATCCACTCGAATGATTGAATCCATAGAGATATTGTCCCAGAAAAGTTGGTTTTGAGCCACGGCAAAAGAAACGCTGGTCATTTTGGATGTGGCTCCATAGCACCGCAGATGTTGCAAAAAAAAAACAGACCAATCATGTTTGGGGGTTTAATGATTTTAATGTCATGAATTTGGGGGTCCAAATTGGGGATGCCCAAAATTTACCCTTTGCGTCTCAATGACAAATTCTGTGAAAAAATTGCGGATGCCCATCATTTGCCCTTCGAAAAATCAGCCACAGGGTGTTTTCTAAAGCTGTGCGGGATGAAGTCTCGACCGATTTTTCCAACGGGGATCAGTTGACGCACTGATAAAGGGCAGAGTTGCGGGAAGGTGTGTTTCAAGTGTGTGTGTGCCAGCTGTTTCTGCTCAAAAATGGAGATGAGCTTGGTGAAAATCGTAGGTTTACCACAGTATCCGTTTCTGGATACTACATTACCACATTGTTGTGATAGTAATAGTAAGACACTCACAGTCCTGGCCCAAGGCAAAGCTCAAATCCAGCAGTTGCAGATGCTGTCCCTATGACCCGGATTCCGGGGAAAGAAACAGTTTCGCTGGTGCAGATCCAATTTTGGTTTATTCAATCCCAATAATGGTATATAATGGTTGTGAAAATCACTCACCAAAGCGAGGTTGCTTGAACTTATCCAAATAAATCCCAGATAGCCCATCGTGTCCCCATTATACCCACACTTCTTGATGATTACTCTCTGGCAAACCAACGTAGCTACGAAGAATCCCCATGTTCAATTCATCGGTAAATCAATAAAAACTAAATGGGCCATCTACACCATAGCTATGTTTAAAATTACCGGAGAGTAAATCACCAATGCCGAATTCAACTCGGCTCTTTGCGCCCTTCGTTGCGCCTTCTGGATCATCGGCACGTGTACTTGTTTCTCCACAGGCACCTGCACCACATTGTCCACATACCTGGGTGGCAGTGGTGGACCCCTGTTTCCATCACTAGGTGAAGTGGACAGTTCTCTACAGGACATATGGATTTTTGGGACCCAAACATCGTTTTTTTTCCATGGTTTTTGGCTCTGGAAGCCAAGGGGATGGACGGAAAAAGTGGATCTTCATATGGACCTGGTATGAAATGATTATGGGGACACACACCTCATTATGATCAGCATAGATTCGTGGTATATAATATATACCCCTGTTATATTTATATTATATATATATATGTGTGAATATGATGTATAAACTGTATATATATATGTACATATAATATGCCAAATCATTCACACTACTACCATTCCAAGGAGTTCCAAACATTTAACATTTTATGTCGAATCAGACGGTGTCTTCTTCAGCCCAGCGGCTCGACTTGTGGCACTTCCACGGTTCTCTCGATCTCTTGGATCATTGGCACATGCACCTGGCACTCTTCCCAGGTCGACGGCAACGACGACGACATGAATTACATCGTGTCTACATAACTGTGAGTGATCATATGCATCAGGGTAGTACTGTGAATATATTTGAAACGATGAAAACATAGAATAAAAACATAATACTAATGATAGTATGAAACATGTGTATGTATATAGAGTAAATTGGTGAACTATAGGAATGATAATCATGAAAAAAATAGATAAAAATGATTGCAATGATGGTTTATGGAGTCTATCCTTACATTTGTAAGCCACCCTCATTGGTATAATTCCCCCGTCAACAAACCAGTGCTCGCCTGCTTGGCCAAAGGCACTTGCACCACCTGTGCGTCAAAGTTGCGATGGCGCTACAAAAATCTTGTGTTGGCTAGTTTGTTCATCATCCCAAACAACAGCAAATATCTACGTGTGTGTAATATATATGAGCCCGGTCCCCGGACCCCCACACCCCCCCCCCTCCCCCCCCAATGGTATCCCCCCCCACTCCTAACCCCCCCCACCCCCCCAAAACCTAGTATTTGCATGTTATTTGCACATATACATACACATATACACATATATACTCCCCTTTCCACCCCTCCAACCTCGCATCTCTACGTTATTTGCAGCACTTGAGAGCCACGACCTCGTCAACGGACCTTGTCTACCTGTATATTTCTATCATAACCTTTTTTTCGAACCGCCTATAACGTGCCTCGCACATGGTTTACAACATATTTGCTACCTATGGACTACGCAAAGCTTACCTATGCAAACCTAGACATATGTACAGTAGAAAAACAATAAATACATATATATATATGCACATTCTAGATACTACAGATTGATATCTTGATCTTGTATCTATCACATACTTCGTTTACATTGTACATACTGTACACGTATATATATATATATATGTATATATATGCATATATATATATACATAAACTCTAGATATACAGCGTGTATTGCTGTCGATATTCAATATACCACATATACTATGTAAAATTTATTCAACGAACATATTTACCTATATTGTATATATTACATCTACTGTGGATACAGTACATGTGGCATATACTATCTATATTCTATCAAAAACCACATATACGATGTGTATATATATATGTTCAATATATACATATATATATGTCAAATATATATATATTATAAATATATATAGATTGCATATATTCTATTTATATCTTACATATTATATATATATGTATATATATATATACACTACACATACACTCTATATTGCATATAGTATATCCATTCTAATTATCGATACATATGCATTATATGCACTATAAAGACTACATACACCATGGCTTGGCTGCTGAGAAAACCCCCCCTCCCCTGCCACAGGGAGGGGGGGGAACCATCTGGCTGGGTGGGGGGGGGTGTGGGGGTCCCTGCTCATATATATATATACACACACGTACACATTTGTATACATATGTGTATGTACATATATATATACAGTATGCGTAAAGCATACATGTATATCTTGTACACCAGTCTAGTCTAGGTATAAATATACACATGTTATAAATGTGCTGGACCATTCCTTCTGGTGTTTTCCAGAACAATGATCTCAGTCAAATCCAGCTCGGCCCGCGCTGATGATCATCCGTGGATTGATGACCATGGCACAGTGGATTGATGTGCCAGTGGCACCATTCCAGTGACAGTGACCCAACAGATATATGGTTAATGTACTGTTAATAATGGTTAAAATAATGTTATTGTATGGTTAATGATGGTTACTAATAATCTGCTTGGTGGTTAATCTCAGATTCAATCTCAGATTCAACAGTCTGCATTTGAGCTTCACCCTCTTGCCCTCACCTGGTCTTCGTACTGAATCTGAGGGACGTCCACACTCCTAAACGATTTCGGGTGGAAAAGGTTATGTATATCATATCTGTGCCACACAAAGGGCAGATGACATCCCAAAATCTATCACTGAGAATATACGGTTGATGCATAAAAAAGTACTTCTATGGCCATCTGATATTGGGAGATGGCTACCCTCTGGTAAACTAACATAGCTATTGAAAATTGCCATAGAAATAGTGGATTTACCCATTAAAAATGGTGATTTTCCATAGCTATTTTGACATAACCAGAGGGTAGTAGAATGGCGCCAAAAACCATGGGCACCTGGTCCAATGATTTGGATGTTGGGCTGCTGATTTGTCCAAATTTTGGTGCAGAAAAATGCACCTCGATTTTTGGAGGGTTCTTCAATGGTTGTGAAAAATTCCTCCATTTCTTGATCTATGATATACCCTCTGGTAAATTAACAGTTTGACCCTGGCAGTTGTCGGGCTTGGAAGATTAGTGAAACCATTAAAACTAGGCGATGGATTCAGGGTCGAACTGTTAATTTACCAGAGGGTACTCTATAAAGATTGAAAACCCCTATCAAAACAAAGCTGTCACAGTAACAAAAGAACGCCTCCCAAAAGCCGCTACTGATGTTCCTCTTAGCCTGCGAAACCGGCATGGCTCCTCTCGACCTTCTGGATCATTGGCACATTGATCTGCTTCCTCAGCAGGGTGATACTTGGACCTTCGCTTAGCTCTAACGGAGGATGCTGATGAAGCTCAATGAAGCTGATAGGTCTCCAAGTTCTGAACCTACCCGAATGAGGATTTGGTTCTTTGGAAATTCTATAAGCCAAATGAAATATCAGTGATCTGTTCCTTACGACCGAATGTGGAGCCTCATCTTCATCTCATAACGGGATCCAACATATGTGCCATGGTCAAAACGTAGGATCAATGGATATTCACGGGGTATGGACATCCATCCCACAATTGGAATCCTTTTCTACCCAAGGACTGGCCAATTCACCCAAGGAAAACTTGACCATGGCAACCTTCGAAAATGCGATGCCTGGCTTAAAATTGCCGTAAAAAATCCCCTTTCTCGGGGTTTTGTCGCTGTGAGCCTTACCCAGACACGTGGCCAATCTCAGGATTTCTCACCCTGCGAAACGATCGATCCAATGGTCAATCCAAGGCTGCACAAGGCCACCCTCGGAACTCCGAGCCTTTCCTACGCCTTAAAACAAACCAGCTTCCATTCAAAACCTATAGAGCCTTGGTAGCCTGAGCTAGCACACAGGTTCCATCCATTTTCTTTTGGTTTGTGACAAAATGTTTTGCCACCCAAGAATGATTTCATTTTTCTCAAAAGGGAAGCTCTGCATTATTGCTCAATTTGACTCTGCTTGGGTTTGCTGCGCATGGGAGAAAAGTCTCATGTTCAACCCAAATTACCCAAATATCATATTGTTGGCTACAGTATATGGTCCATCATATCCATTCATATCCCAGCGTATATGTCCCCATCATACATCTCCCCAGAGCCAAGGATCTGAACGGGAACCTCCACGATCTCATCTTGATATTCGATTTGAGGCACCTCAATCTGCTTCTGCACCGTCTGAACCATGGGGACGTGAACGTGCTTGGCCACGGGGACATGCACCACCTGATCCTCGTATTGCACCTGGCGCCGGATGGAAAATCGTCCACGCTCTTGGCAAGTCCAGCACAACCAATATTCAATATCCTCTTAGAGAGAGGCGTCGATGGAAAGTGTCATGAATAGTCAGTTCTAAATCATAAATCACCAAAAGTTGAAGTTTTGTCAAAACCACTTTCAAAATCCAGCAAAACCACGTTGGCAAAACCAAGACAAATCCAACACTTCGGCCAAAAAATACTCCGAATAAAATTCCCAGATTTCCACACTGCAACTTTTGGAATAAGGATTGTCCTTTCCGTTTCCTCTAAGACTCTAAGACATCAACGCAGAGAAAAGTTCATGTTGCACTTAAAAACCAAGGCGACCGGACCGCTTTCCCTCGCGCCTGTGGTACCTCCACCTGCTTCTGCACGGTTTCCACCATGGGCACGTGCACCTGCTTGGTGACTGGCACCTCAACGACCTTGCGGACGTCGGCTCGATGGATGGAGTTGTTGTTCCATGTTGTTCCAGATTCGAAAAATAGATGGAGGTTGTCATGGTTTACCCTGCCAAAAAAAATGAACATCAATTTTGGCGACCTTACTTTTGAAACAAAATGTAGAGAAAACCGTCAACAAACGACCTTTGGTTTAACCTGTTCTGTCTCCATCATCCAACTTTTGGGGTCTAAGGCTTTAGATTTCCCAGGAAGCAGTGGAGCTGGGGATGTTGTCGTGGTTTTGGCGATTTGAAGTGTAATTGGCATTGAATGAGCAGCAAAACCAGCTCAATGAGATGACCAAACTCTGCCATTTTCCGAGCAAAAGTGGTGCCCCTGAGGTTCTTTGTGGAAATGTCGGCCAGTGGTCTGTCTTCATGGATTTTCTCTCAAAGATGCTTCTATCTACACATATTATATATAAATATAGTGTATAGTTATGTGGTAAACCCAATTTCATAAACCATCCCCAATCATCACCATGTTTATGGGGGCTATGTTTACCATCCCGAAATGGTAGTTCTTTATGGCATTGGGTTCCCACATGATATTAATATGTAATATTTACGTGGCTATATGTGGCTAGTGCATGATAATTGATATGGGTTTGATATTATTGGGTTTCCCACATCAATGTAATCCCACCATGGTATGATTATACTCCATGGAGCTACCAGACTTATATAAATATATATATACGTGTGTATATATATATATGATGTGTATATATATATATACATATTATATGGAATCCAATCCAAAAGGTGCTCGGGCGATGTTGTTCCGCACTTGGACGCGCCAGTCTGCCTGGTCTTCGTACTGGATCTGTGGCACTTCAACCTCCTTCTGCACCTTCTGCACCATTGGCACATGAACCTGGCATGGATAGAACTGGAGCTTTCCGAACTTTTTTTGGTACCTCTATAGTTATCCAATTTTATGAATGCTACCTCTTTCTGGAAGAATATATCAAAATACATGGTTATCATGTTATCATCCATTAATTTCATAGGCTTTTTCTCAACCATGAAATAAATCATGTATTTTGATATATTGATGGGTCAAAACCTTGTACCCCTGGTGAACATCAAAATAGCTGGTAAATGGATGTTCATCCCCCTAAAAATGGTATGTATAGGTATTGATCCATAGCCATATATGTTGGGGACATGGAAATCCTATGTACCTCCTGGTGATCCAGCCATATCCATCCGCGCCTGCTTCTGTACGGGCACGTGGACGATCTGATCTTCATATTGCATCTGTGGCACCTCCACCTGGCGTTCGGGTGGAAATCTGTGGAAATCTGGGGGATTCCGGGATGGCATCAACCACATCACTCGCTATGAATTTTTTTGGAGTCAACTGGCCAAAAAATTCAGCCGATGATGTCACCATTGGTGGATGGGACTCAATTCCGGTGCTTGGAAAACGGCCACCACTACAAGCTGCCTACGCATCCCATCAATATTGCAGTTGCGGATGTGTTCGAGTCCTTATTTTTGTAGGAAACTCATAGATTTTGAGGTTTGACCTGGGTTTGATACCTCAAAAAGTCATAGATTTTGAGGTTTGACCTGGGTTTGATACCTCAAAAAGTCATAGATTTTGAGGTTTGACCTGGGTTTGATACCTCAAAAAGTCATAGATTTTGAGGTTTGACCTGGGTTTGATACCTCAAAAAGTCATAGATTTTGAGGTTTGACCTGGGTTTGATACCTCAAAAAGTCATAGATTTTGAGGTTTGACCTGGGTTTGATACCTCAAAAAGTCATAGATTTTGAGGTTTGACCTGGGTTTGGGTTTGATACCTCAAAAAGTCATAGATTTTGAGGTTTGACCTGGGTTTGATACCTCAAAAAGTCATAGATTTTGAGGTTTGACCTGGGTTTGATACCTCAAAAAGTCATAGATTTTGAGGTTTGACCTGGGTTTGATACCTCAAAAAGTGCAGAACCCCCAGATGACATCATGTGAAACTTCCCATTTTTTGCTGGAAACGTCGCAACGCAACGGGTTACAACAGGCAGCACCTGTTTCTGCATGGTCTGCACCACTGGGACGTTCACCTGCTTGGCCACAGGCACCTCAGGGCAGCCATGATCAACTCATGGTTGAAATCATTGTCTGTCTAGATCGGAAAAAGTTTAAAGATCTTGTATCATCTGTATTTTATGTTTAGATCATCTTTAGATCATGTATAGATCATGTATAATCCAAAAATTGTCCTGTTGAAATCATGGTAGGAAAATCATGGTAGATCCCCATGGTTCTTCGCCTCGACGATCTGATCTTCAAACTGGATCTGAGGCACCTGGCTCTGACGGGCGCCGAGGCATCCGGAAGTGTATGGTTTTTAGTCAAAGCCATATAGCCTATAACTATGGAAAATCTATGGAAAATATAGCCTATAACTATGGAAAACAGACTCTGAGTAAATTTCTTACATGTTATAACTAAGTTATAACTATGGAAAATCAGAATGTTGGAATATGGTTGATAGGTACAGAAAAACTTTTTGATGAGTCAGATACTGTATCCTCTGGTAATGACTGTCACAGTTTGCTATTGAGGATGGCCCGATGGTGATGTTCCAGGTCGCAAACTGTAGGCTATCTGACTCAGACTCAGTGGCTTTGTGAACCTGCCTGTCACCAATCTTTTTATTCTTGAGCTTTAGTTCACCATTCTTCACCAAAGATAGTTAGGGTGACACAACCTGTTGACCCGTTACCGCGAGAGTAGGCCCATGGAGCCACATCAAAATGGCATTCTTCTCTGCTCTTCTCATATGATCATATGTGTAAACCTCCAATGCCCCGCTAGTTTCCCTGTTAACAACAAATGCTGCTGAAAGTTTGGATTAAATTCAGAGTTGTTCTCCTGGGAAAAATACTAAAACATAACAACTTTCAACCCATTGAAAAGCACCAGCGTGCCGTTACCACGTGGGTCTGAACCAAAATCGACTGGCCAATCATTACAGTATATTCTCGATCACAACTTGCCACAAAATTCGGGTTGACTACATTTTCAGACACACCAATACATCCAAATTGTTGATAGAATGTCCCGCTTTTTTTCCCCACTATGGTGGTTTTTTTTGCAGAGAAAACATGACCCATTATATCCCCATGATCTCCCCATCACTCCCATTTCTTATGGTGAATCCCCAAGATCTTCCAGTCGATTCCCATGGCGCTGTTTAGATCCCAATCGTTGGTGAACATCCCTTAACAAGTTGGAGACTATTCACCAAAAGATATGGCAACAACAAAAACATCCACCAAACCAACAACCAAAGAATTCAAAAAGATCTCGCTGCCTCCACAGTCTTCTGGACCTTTTGCACCATGGGCACATGCACGTGCTTGTGGACGATGGGCGCCTTTGCAGGTGTCAAAGTCATCATCTGGAAATGATTCTCAATGGATTGGTTTAAGGGAAAATCTACAGGAAACCATGGTTTTTTACCATCAAATATAGGGCTTTCGGTTAAAATTTTCCCATCATCCAGTTCTATGAGGAAATATTCACTACCCGCATTTTTAGAAGTCGGAAATTTCATTCACCTCCCAGGAATCCTAAGGCCCTAAGGAGTTCATGACGCGCAAAATTATGGTTTGTCCCAGTGATGGCTGAGGATCAACCCCAGTTGCATTTTGCGCCTTCCTGGTCTTCCAAGGACGAGAAAAGGGTGTATTTTTTTTCACCGTTGGGGCACATTAATAAAAGGAAATCATCTGTAAAATCATCTGGATTTCTTCATGCCAGCTGCAGGGTGCCAGCCGACAAAAAATGCATTGCTTCACTTGGTGAAGCACTGACTGTTGCTGTCGCGCTTGACAAGGGAGACCCAAAAACGGTTGGCCCAAAAACCCGCCATTTGGAAAATTGAACATGCTCCCCAAACTGCCATCTCAGGAACCCAAAATAGAGGATAATGTCAAGTGAGGATTAATAATCCCCTCCCGATTAATCAACCACCATTGCCCAAAAAAAAAATGAAATTTAAAAACAGGTGGTCCCCCGAGATTAATAAACCGGTGGGCCTACCCCCGATTAATCAACCACCAGTGCTGAAATCCAATTTTTTATCCAACATTTTTTATTTCCAATTCTATTTATTTCCAATTGTTTTTAACCTTTTTTTTAATCATCATTGTTATACTTCAGGTTTAAGTTGATCATTGAAAATTTCAAAAAAAAACTATTCCCCAAATGATCGATTTCTAATTAAAATCTTTATAAAAAACATCAGTTTGGATAGCTCCCAAAGGGTACCCCCCATGAGCCCATATCCCCCATTAATAATAACCATGGTTTGCCCCTGATTAATCAACCACCTTTCTGATCCATGAAATTTTAACAAATCCAATGGAATTCTATTAAGATCTAATTGACGTAAGCCATATCCAAAGTTTTATGGTTCAGAGTTGCTTATTATTAAGGGGCGATCAAGAAAACCAGTCAGAAGGTACCTCCCTACCTTCTGGGGGGGGGGGGGTTATTAATCCGGTGTTGGCATTATAGAGGTACCTACCATATTGTCAGGCCTGTGTAAGGGCTCTATTTATCCCCAAAATATTGGTATAGTACCTCTATTTTTGGATTCTGAAATTTCCCCCTTTGAAAACTTCACTTCTTTTGCGCCTGTGCCGCTGGCATGGCCACACGCCTCAGTCCAGATGTGAAACCAATGTCCGTCAGTGTCCCGGACTTAGAGATGATGATCCCTTAAGATATTTTTAAAAAAACTAGTTTAGGGACGAATGTTGTATCATCTTCAAGAAAAAAACGTACATTTTTGGTGTAAACAACATGGTTTCCTAGCTGCATTCCTTTAAATCATAACATTGATTGTGGGATCAAATGGGAACTTAGCTTACCGAGAATGAGAATCTCATCAACCCAAATGGTAGTATTAACCAGATTCCAAGAGTCAATGGTTAGCAGCTACAAAAATCTCCAATCTTCAGGAGCCTGGATGAAAGAGAAAAGAACCCAGTGTACACTGGTAGTACCCTCTGGCAAACTAACATAGCTGTGGAAAAATCCGCCGCTGTTAGGTAAATCATCGAACTAAATGGGCCATCATGGGCCATCTATACCAGAGCTATGTTGGTTTACTGAGTTTACTGTAGGGTGCCTTCTCCGCATGATAATGATCAGTCCAAATACGACACATGACCAGCCAAAAATGACAGTCAGACCTATTTGAAGAAGTGGGAAACCTCGGAAAGTGGTAGCATTATGCTAAAAGGTTAGCCCCAAAATATAGCTGTGATATTGTTCGGTGATATATCGTCCGAATCGGGATGGGTCAAAACCCAAAAAAAAAACCAAAGTGACCGAAAAATGTGTGGTTCCCCGACCAAGTCCAGCAGAAAAAAACATGACAAATCACCCAACCTGTCATCCCCCAAGGCTACCAATTGGTTGAGATATGGATTCCAAAGTTGTGGCTCTCCAAGTTTTCGTAGAGTTAACTTAGGCCACTCAACTCATTTCTGAGCCGCGTGCTGTCTGTTTTTACAGATCAATCCGCAAGATTTGGCTATGGATCAATACTTTTAGGGGGATGAACATCCATTTACCAGCTATTTTGATGTTCACCAGGTACATTATTACCATATTTGGAAGAATCAACATCCATTAACCAGCTATTTTAGGTACCATCCGGGTACCAGGGTTTTGACCCATCCCCAATTTCTGCGGTCAGAACCCGACTCGCGCCTGTGACGTGCCACGGGCACATCGACGAACTCATCCACGTATTGGATCTGAGGAATATGGACCTCGTGGTCCGCTTTTGGGGGATAGGTGGAGTCGCTGGTGATGCCAATCGGTGGAAGCATTACCCGGCCTGGTAAACTAACATAACTATGGAAAATCACCTTTTTTAATGGGGGATTTATAGTTGATAGAGCTGACTTTTGTTAGATACCCTCTGGTAATTTGTTACATAACTATTGAAAATGACCATTTATAGTGGATTTACCCATGAAAAATGGTGATTTTCCATAGCTATGTTAGTTTACCAGAGGGTATTGTTTCCATAAGGAGTGCGTTGAGATGTATATAGATACTAGATTCTGGATATAGATTTGGATATAGATGAAAAAATGAGACTGAGATTGATATCGATAATATCGATATTGATATACACATGTGCATACATATAATATATATATATATACACGTCCATTTTACACATCCATTTATATGTGTATATATATATACATATAAATATATCCATAAGTATACACATGTCTGATACATACATAGATATACGCAAAGAGATATAAAGAGGGAAAACACTTGCATGAAGTAGCAAAGGAGGCCATTTATTGCTGGCCTTTTCCAGTGACTAAATATGAGGCCTTCCGGCATGAATGGCAGCACTGCCACAGCCACCTGCTTCTCGATCACCTTCTGCACCGGCACATGTTGGACCATCACCTGAAGCTAGAGATTGCCGGCTGGGCGGCTGGTTGCAGAAAGGACCTTGGGGGGAACAATGAGATGGATTGAAATGAATTGAGCCCGTGCCCATGGTCTATCACGAGTTTTGCCCACTGAAAAGATGCCAAAAAAATTACAGTACTTGGATTTGCTTTTTCGGGGTCCCACAAGAAATGAATTCATATTCCAATCCAAGAAATCACCTTGTCGCAGCCAACCTGTTCTAAGCCAGTCTCCAATTTTAAAACTTTGGAGAGTTCAAAAAATAAACAGTGGCACCATGCAGAGATTGCCAAATGTCCCTTTTAAAGGGATTTTGAATATCTCCTTCAAGTATCTGGAGATTAAATATGCCCTTTTTAGTTGGGTAAAACAATAATAAAGCGTCCCCCAGTCATCACCATTTTCATAGCTGGTATGTTTACCATTCCCAGTCGACTGGGTGGTTTATGACATTGTTTTGCCCACATTAGTGATATAATAGTGATATTTCATGGGATATCTAATGATATTATACTGAGATTGAGAATGAGATGATAAACTTATGGTTGATCATAGCTATCAAGTGGGAACTTAGTTGGGTTTCTTGTTGAGAATTCCATGATAGTTCCTCCATTTATAGTGTATTTTCCCATGGTTTTCCTATGATTTTCCCATTAAACATCCATTTACAGTGGATTGTCCCATGATTTTCCCATGATTTTCCTACCATTTTGACCAACGCCATGTGCCACCCGCCCGCCTTGGGCACGTGCTGCACTCGCTCCTGTACGATGGGTTTCCTTCTCTGCACCACCTTGTGCACCTCGAAGCAGCATTACAGTCGATACCTCCCAGTTGCATGGCTCGATACATATACTCTCTATATACATATATATAAGTTGGTTTATAACTCCCATAACTATGGTTTATGGCAGATATAACTATAGTTAATGGGGTTTATAAACCAACTTATAACTGGGGGGCACCATCCTGTATATGTATATATATATATACCAATATATATATATATACCAATATAATATATATATATACCAATATATATATATCCATTGTAGAAAGTGACTTCCCCATGATTTCTCTGCCAAGGTGCCACTGTGGGCCGCACGATTTGGACGTTCTGCACCTGGTGTTGGACCACCGTGTCCACCACGGTGTTCAGCACCTGTGGCGCAGCTGAGATTCGGGGATGGGTCAAGTTGCTACAATGTGGGGCCCCCCTAGCTATAAGTTGGTTTATAACCCCATCTAACTGTGGTTATAACTACCATAAACCCCAGTTATTGTAGTTATAAACCAACTTAGCTATCTTGGGGGCCCCACATTGTATGTGGGGCCCCTGGTCGTCAACCAAGTCATGGTGAAATCGTTAAGTCACGGTGCAGAGCGGCCTACGTCCTCCCGACCTTGCCACGGAAACAAAAAAAACAGAAATCTATAAAATGGATACGTGAATCACTGGTGGATGAATGACCATCCACCACTCTGGACAATTTACCACAGTTTGCCCAGGTTTTGGCCATGGCACACATGGGGATAGGTCAGTTTACCCATGGAATCTCCTGGTTTGAAAGCACTTAAATAGCTGGGGATAACCCCTCTAACAAGAGATATCTCCACATTCCCAACACTTGACCCAACAAACACTATATGAATAGGATTCCCAACTAACAATAGGATAACCCCTCTAACAAGTTGTCTAACAAAAGTCAGCTCTATCAACGACAAATCCCCCATGTTTCTTGCTTAAATCGATGCCCCCGATGCCCATCTCGCCTTAGGCACTCGCACCGTCTTCTCCTCCACCTGAATCATTGGCACCTGGCGGACAACTTGGATGATTTAAGGGGTCTATGCGTATGTATTATATATGTATATATCCATGCATATGTACTGTGTATGTATGTATGTATGTATGTATGTATGTATGTATGTATGTATGTATGTATACATATATATATATATACATATATGTATGTATAGATACATATATATATATACATACATACAGTATTATATACATGTAGATAATACATAGTACATATGTGTATCTAATATGTATTGTAATGTTATAATGTCAACTCCGGATTGAGATCTACCATGGTTTATGAAAATTATGGGGGGTAGGCTCCAAATAGTGAGCTGTATGATACTTCATTGCTACACCCCCAAATTGAACAGCCTAGTGGGTTATCAATCAAGGGTTGACATCATACATATTATGTATGTACATAAATATATATACATACATATATACACATAGTACATATGTAATCTATTGTAATCCATTCCTCCTAATTTAAACACCCCCTTCGTTCGACCATGCTTTAGTGAGAATTTCCACATCATTGGCACCATACAATGGGGCTGTTTTTTGTTTCGGATGGGATTAATGGGATCTATGTTAAATGTGATCTTGTATTCACGGAATGGGAATAATGTTGATTCATGTTAGGTTTAGGGTTGACTGATGTTGACTAAATATTATCTGGTTGGTGGTTGACCTACCCCTCTGAAAAATATGAAAGTCAGTTGGGATCATTATTCCCAATATATGGAAAAATAAAATTCATGTTCCAAACCACCAACCAGTTATGTAATGCTGCTATGTCTCGTTCTACGAACCGGGTTTTGTCGATCCCTTCGTCCCCCTTCCGACATTGTCGCCATGGCCTGAACGGACTTCTCGACCACTACAGGTCTGGGCACTTCCACGACCAAATCCACGGGGTTGTGCACGATGCGCTCCACCTTACTGACCTTGACGTGGGGAAGAGGGCAAGAGGGGGAGGAAAAGGAAAAAAAAACACCACTTGAGGTGATGACAAAGTCTATGAAACTGGGTATACAATCCCATTTTCATGGTTAAACATCATTTTTGGGGTATATTAGGCCCTATGAATGATGAACGGGATTCAAAAAAAGAATCGCTATGGCAACCCCCATAGCATAAAGTGGACTTGGAATGGTTTCAAGGAGGGCCCTTGACCCCTAAACCAAGGCACTAAGGGCACATGGACCTGCGTCTCAACCGGTTGTTCAATCGGAATGTCCACCATCTCCTGTGGGTGGCGGTCATCAACCAAGGCCCATAGGTGATTCATCGTAGGATTCTCTGGTAAATTAACAGTTTGACCCTGAGAATAAGCCATTTTTACTGGAAACTCATCTTTCAACCCCGACAAATTTCCAGGCTCTATGTTAATTTACTGGAGGTTAATGGGTATAACAACTTTTATGGTCCTCAAGTCTCGACAATGACACCAATGAGACCAAACCCTTCGGGGATGGGTTCCGTTCCCACTTTTCATGTTGATCTCGAAGCACTTTTCAAGAACCAAACAAGTCTTGGGACGTTGAAGGATCCCCCTGCTGAAAAAAAAGGGGAGTGCATCCCGGACATCGTAAGCAGGTAACACTCCACTTACATTTGCGGGGCAAAAACATCAGAACATATTCATTCATATTCAAATATTCCCATGGATTCCTCCATTTTTGTGTGTTTCTTTTCCTAGAAAAAAACACATCCGAAAAAAATCCCCAACAGTCACAGCAAAAATCGGCGCCGTCCTCCACATGGAAGTGATGCTGACGCTCCTGTTGCACCACCTTGGGCACGTGCACGACCTGCTCCTGCCAGTGGCCTTTTGGAGCCACCAAGAGCATCGGGAATCAGCAAGGAGTACAGGTCATAGTAACTTAGTAATCCCAAAAAAAAAAAGATGGAAAGGTAAAATCCGAAACGAAATCAGTAGTTACTAATCTTTTTGGAGATGGCTATAGATGGGAATAACATGGACCATACTGGGATGATGGCAGCCCCGCGTTGGTCCCGCGCTTTTTATCTGGGGGCTGGGGGTGGTACCATTTTGCTAGCAAATCACATCACTATTTGGGGGAACCCCAATTATATAATCAACCAAGGTTCATTCATCCGGGGGTTGACATCATAGCGGGAAGGGAATATAATGTGATGTAACCAACAAGATGATATGTGGCGCAAAAAATGGGGTACCAGTTTCTGGATCCACAATATTTATCCTGTTGAGTAGTTAAAACTAGCCCCTTCCCCCCCGAATTCTGATATCATAACAATTCAATCAGCCCCCCACCACCAGTGACCCCCCCCACCAATCGATGGTACCTTCGGGGATTTCCCAGCCATGGTTATCGTTAAACAGCCTGTAGGTCCCCGGAGGATCATCATAAGTGTTGTCACCATAGTCCACTACTGGTAACTGCTTCAGCTTCCATAGCTATAACATATAACATCATATAACCATAGTTACTATGCCATAGTTATAACCCATTTCCAGATGGGATGTCACCCCAGCCTAAGTCCCCAAGTCTTCGGTAAGTTCCTTCTCTGTCACCTCTACTGTCAGTCACCGACGGTCACCCGCTCCTGCACCATGGGAATTGGCACCTCCTTGGTGGTTTCCACAGGTTGATGCGTCACGCGCTCCTCGCAACAAGTTGAGATGTGCCATGGCTGCCATGGTTTCCTGGTCCACAGAAGAAAGTCTTCCCCGTTTTGATCTGAAACGCCACCTGTTTTCTTGGGATATCAGGAAATCTTCTCACTCACCAGATTCATCATATGAACTCTCTGCCAGCTATCGTAAGTCCACCTTGTAAATGACTGACCAACTCCTGCCACAAATCCACCATCCCTGGCACAGGCCACCTGTGTAATCACCTTGGGCACGTGCACGACCTTCTCCTACGACCAGGCGATGATGGTCAAGTTACGACGACTGGAAGAGCTACGAGCATCCCACTAGATGAAGATAAGCCCTATAAAAAATCGGTCTACTACAACTACACATAAATGAGTGGACATCATGGGTAGATACGTAACAACCTATTGTAACAGGGTATCGAAAAAGCCCAACCCGAAAATGGGCGAATGACCATCCCCTGATGGGAAAAGATGTAACGAATGACCATGGCAAATGAATTTGAGGCACCGGGGGATGACTTACATATACAATTTCATGGGACCATGATGGATTCCCAGAATTTCCTGAAGGGAACATTTAAAGCAAAACCACCATGTGAGCTTCGTAAAATCTGAACCAACCCACTGCATCCGCCGAGTCCTGGGTGTGTGGAATTGGCACCTCCACTGTTTGCTCCACGTGCTCGTGACGAACACGAGTCTGGGTCATAATCTTAGGCACGTGCACCATCACCTCCTGTGAGAAAGCTGATCTAGCTGACCTCGCTGACAAAGTTTTGTTTCACTGGATTGGTTTAAGGGAAAATCTTAACCGGAAACCATGGTTTTTACCATCAAATATAGGGCTTTCCGGTTAAAATTTTCCCATCATCCAATTCTATGATTGTTGGGACAGGGAAAATCCACAGGGAAATCCCAAAGTTTTTTCCGCCATCGTATCTCGGGGATTTCCCGCTTAAAATGTTCCGAAAAAACGAATTCTGGGTTTTATGTTGGCGAGCTGTTTACCAGATAATGTGTGATTCCAAGTTCCCAAAATAACTTGTACCTAGTCACTGAAGGTTGGTTTCTTGAAATTACGATACCCCCGAACCTCCCAGATTTGATTTATTAAACGTCTATGAATTCCAAATAATTCCAGTACAAAGGGCAGCCCGACGGCCAAAGCTGGCTAACCTTACAAGCGTTTATCTTCAGTGGGAGAACTACAATGTCATCATATCAACCCACCAAACATCAGCCCATATCAGCCCATGTTTTCCCTAAAGATGTCTGATAAACTCAGGCTTTTCCAGGGGGAAAACACCGGTTCCCAGAAAGGGCGGCCAGTCCTCAGTCATGGGCACTGGCACTTCCACGCTCTGCTCCACCTGTTGCTGGATCTGACCTCGGCGAATGAGATTGAAACCTGGACTAATGCTGATAATCCCAATGCCAGCGACATACATATAATTCCTGTGTGTTCATTGCATAATATCTCCGGTAAATCGCATCCAAGACATACAGTATATGGGTGTGGAGTCAACAATCTAGTAATCTACCCTCTGGTAAACTAACATAACTATGGAAAATCACCATGTTCAATGGGAAAATCCACTATTTCTATGGTGATTTTCAATAGTTATTTTGAGATAACCAGAGGGTAAACTATCCTCAAGTCATCACCCTGTTTGATGGATGGTATACATAAACCATCCCCGTAAATCCATGACGCTTCATGGTTTCCATGGGGGTTTCAACCACATGCAGAATCCCCAAAAATGCTCGGTGATGAAGCTTTTTCAGTGGAACAAACCATCCCCCTTGGGGGGATGACCCCTTTATTTTTAAACGTCCAAGCCGGTCCAAGCCGGTCCACCGGTCCAAGCCACGAGTTTGGGTCAGGATCTTGGGAATGTGAACATGTTCCTCCTGTTGCATCGGCACAGGCACCTGCCATCGGATGACGAAAAAAAACAGCGCGTTCGAAAAACCACCGGAAAAACCATGGGCTTTTTTTTACCCCCCCTTCCAAGAGCTTCTCATTGGCATATAATTACATCGTTTTTGTGCAAGCTGGCATAAAATGGGAACCGGAAATATCGAAACACTGCTTCGCTTTGGGACTCTGCGCGCTCAATCAAAGGACATGTGTCATAAGTTGATTAGCAACATCACAAGGTTCACAAGTGTCAAAACCGAAGCAGGCGTCCATCATCATCATCATCATCATCATCTCGATCTTACACGCCCACCCCCTGCGCCAATTGCTCCCCCTCCGTTTTGATCCCGCTCACCTCCACGGTCTGCTCGACATGCTGATGAGAGGTGCGGGTGTGGGTCACCACTTTTGGCACGTGGACCACTTCTTCCCTCCTCCGCAAGGTTTCGGCCCGTTTCGGCCGGTCTCAGAGCCACTTCAAACAACCAGAACGGCAGTTCCTTGAACAGCAATGTTCCACCAGAACAGCTCTTTTTTCCAATAAATTTCTTGCGGCCGATTGGGGGGGCGGGATTTTCCAACTCTATGGGCCAAGCTCTGAAAATGGATGATACCCAAAAAAGAAAGCCGAAACTCACAGAGAAGATGATGATTACCCTGATTTTAGTGGTGCTCTGTTTTTTCAAACAAACCCAAATATCACATGTTGTTGCTTTTTTTTGCCATTGTATACCCAGCGCTCATTGCTTGAACCCCATGGTTATATCCCAGTTATCCCATCGGAAGTCCCGATTGTATCCCTGTTTATGGCTGGTTTATGGTTGGTTTTTGTACCATTGTTGGTGATTAATCTCCATCAATATCCCCAATTCATCCAAATCATATGAATGTTTCACGTCATAACTCATCCAGATTCTTGGTGATGTATCGCACTAAGATCCATGATGGATGAATGCCATGGGCAAGTTACCTGGTGGATAGGGCCACTGGTCATCCCATCATGAATCGTATTCAATTCCCCAAATAATGGATATATCAATCCATATTGATGACGGGATGAGCATCTCCTGTAATTAATAACAAAGAACCCATGTTTTGCCCATGGCACATTATAGTTGGCGATATTTTCCATGAAATAGTCCCATTAGTCTCGCATTCTCCCACCATTTTTATGGTGGTTTCTCCAACTAATCTAGCTGGTTATATCTAAACATGATATCCCCATCTAAAGAAACATCTATATCATAACTATAATGTCCCCATCATATTTTCCACTACATCCTCATGAATATCCCCACTTTTTGATATTTCTCATCATTGTTAAGATTGATAGTTACTAAGTTACTATTACTATTTCTATCACTATTAGTATCACTATTACTATCACTATCACTATTACTACCCTCTGGTAAACTGTTACATAACTATGGAAAATGACATTTTTTTCTGGCTAATTCAAGGAACTAAATGGTCATTTTCAATAGCTATGTAACAAGGGGATGGTTCATTCCCCATAGACAGTTACTATTACTAAGTTACATAGACAGTTATTAGTTCTTGATAGTTGATTATTAGTTATAAGTATTTTGGTACTATGATTATTTTTCTACTACCCTCTGGTAAACTATACAAAAAGCTATTGAAAATGGCAATTTATAGTGAGCTTTTCCATTAAAAGTGGTGATGTTCCATAGTTATGTAACAGTTTACCAGAGGGTACTATTACTATTACTATGACTATCACTATTCCTACCACTAAGTAATGAAATAGATGGAAGTGAAATAGACAGATGGTTCAGTAAATCTCTATATCCAAATATCTAGATGAAATAACACTATCCATTACTATCACTAAAAAAACGATCACCATCTTCAGATCGATGGCGGGGCTCAGCCCACACCGTATAACCCCACCGTTCCGTTCCGATCAGCGGAGCGTCCTCTGATGGATGGGCACCTCCACCACCTGCTCCACCGGTTGCTGCACCTGTCGGGTGGCCGTCATGACTTTGGGGACGTGGACGACTTCCTCCTGACGACCACGGAGAAGTTCGAGATCGATGGGACCACGTGTGGTTCAATGAGTGATAAAAAAAGGTGGTTTAATGGTGATAGAATCGATAGAATAGGGATATCGAAATTGGGAGAGTGTGGTTAAAAGATATTATATGATAGTGATATCTAATGGGGATAGTGATATCTAATGTGCCATTATAAACCATCCTTTTCTAGTAATGTGGTTAAAACAATTCCATAAACCATCCCCCAGTCATCACCAGAAATGGGTGGTATGTTTACCATACCCAGTCATGGGTGGTTTATGAATGTTTATGGCATTGGTTTAACCATATAATAGTGATATCATAGTAATATTTCATGGGATATCTAATGATATTATTTTTTGAGTTTGATAAGATGATAAGCCTATGGTAATGTCATACCTATCAAGTGGATTTTTTTCATGAGTTCATACAAAAAGATGGTAACTTTTTTGATATCCAAACTTATAATATTCAAAAACATGGATATCTATTGGGATAGTGTGGTTAAATAGTGATATAGTATTGATAGAATAGGGATATCTAATGGGATAACATAGATATGTTTATAAGTTGGAATGTCCAAACGCTCTATTGGGAATACCCATGTTTGAATATGTACCATATATACTATATTCTGACAAAGCATGACAAATCTAATACCCTGGCAATTCATCCACATAGCTATGAGAAATAAACAATATAGAAGAATTAAACAATTTTTATAATGGTAACATATATGGTTTATTCTAATATATTTCTCAAATATTGTAACATATCTTCATCCACATAAATAAAACATGTCTAGATGTTCCCAGCTACAAACCTCCTTATTTGCTGTCAAGATTTCCCAACCATCGCTTCTATCCTCCATGGTTTCTTGAATACCCGGCCTGGTAAACAGCTACAGCTATGGAAAATCCACATTTTTTATGGGCGAGTCAACGAACTATCTATGGCCATGTTCAATAGCTATGTAACAGTCATTACCAGAGGCTAACTCCTGTGTCTTCGTGGTTGAAATCCCCATTTGTTGCTGTTGAATTCCCATGAAACCGGTGGGGTTTCACCGGAGTGAAACGCCCTTCTGAAAACCACGAGATGTCCCAAGTTTCTTGATGAAAGGGCTTTGTCTGAAAATAGCTATTCCATGACATCCCGGTTGTTTGACTGTTTGCGGATGATTTTTTCCATTGTTTGGCGCTTCAATCCCAGTCATCGCAGAAAATATCCCCATTATTGATGCTTAATGCCCATGAATATCCCCTTTTATGGATGGTTGATTCAACCTTTGGGATAAAAAAAACTTAGGTTCAATCCCATAATTTTACCATAAAATCCTTTCATCTTCATCTTGATTTTTTCCCCAAAAAGAATGGGGCACGAATTTTTTGGATCCCATCCCGCTGCTCCTGCGTCATGGGGATCGGAACTTCCACCAGCTCCTCCACATGCTGATGCTGCACGCGGCTGGCCGTCATGATCTTGGGCACATGCACCACCTGGCCAGATCCGAAAAACCATCTTTTTGGGAGGTAGAAAAAAAACGACAACACCAGATGCAGATGATGAGAGAAACATGAGAAACCATAGGCCTTGCATATCAATTTCTTAGACTACTGGTATGCCAGCTGTTTTTACCGGGGTCATCTGACCGAAAAGTGCCATAATTGCTTTAGTTTGCTTTAATTCGCAGATTTTTTGGTGCAGTAATTTCAGTAAGATGGACATCTCCCAACAACGATGCAGGCTTCAAACCTGCAAAATTAGCCCCATCATCTTGAAAACACCCAGATATCTGTGGAACCCACAGACATCTGTGGAACCCAACCTCTTCCTGCATCATAGGGACCGGCACTTCAATGACTTGCTCGACAGGCCTTGGTTGTGGACTGCAGGAGGCGAAAACGGTCTTGTCATGTCTACATGTATTATATATATATATATATATGTGAACAAATGGATCCTTGTTCTGGATATCGTTGATTGGTGGTGCCTAAGTGCTGGGACCGCCGAACCCTAGCAAAGCATAGCGAGCATCACGCGATCGTTTTCCTTTCAGCGGGCGCTTGAGCCACAACGGGCGTTTGAATGTATTGACATGTGCATGTGAGACATGCACCTAGCGCCTAGTTCCCTTTGACACCCCCCATGCCCGTGGTATCTTCGAACCACGGACACGAGAGAGGGAACTTTGAATTAGATTGTTTCTGCTACCTGAATTACGCCTATGTACATAAAACATGCCATTCGGCTCCCCCTTCCCCACATACCCGACGGGAATAATGGTTCAGGGTTCGCCTACTCTCTGGCTGTCGATGCATCGGCGTTTCATCAAGCTGTACAACGCGAGTTATTGCTAGCTAACATCTACTTTTCTACGTCGGCTAAGCTTGCCACTCACCCGTCGGGAGAAATGGATCGCTTCGCTACCAAAGATTTACAATGCTAACTAACGAATTCACGTGCACATTGCAGAATTTCGTGCAGATTGGGAATATCAAAAGTCTTGAACCTAAGCGAATTAGTCTACTGCCTCGCTCAGAGTCCACTCAGTTGGTCTTTTCCTGATCATCTGTTCACAAAGACGATACACATCTTATAGTTCAGTGATCATTTTGACGGACAGAGGTAATGGCTTCACTGCTCACGGCGGACTTTCTTCCATTGAGGTGTTGTTGGAGTTTTCTCCCATCCTGCCGCACGTTTCGGAGCAGCTTTCGGCGATGAGGGCTTCGCAGGCGGTGCCTTTGATGGTTCATGGGATTTCGGCATAGCCTTAGCCTTTGGTGCGCTGGCCGATGAGGATGATGCTGAACCAGTGCCTTCAGGTTTCTGTGAAGGTTGTGCTGATGATTTGGCTTTCGCGTCTGCGGTGGCAAACTTGGAAGCGGCAGTATGTCCGACTGCTTTGAATACTTCACTCACCACTTCGTCGCCAAGGGTTGGAGCCATCTTCGTTTTCATCTCGGTCTTTCCCCTCTGCGCCTCGGCCTCAGCCAGTTGAATAGCATAAGCCATCTTGCTGACAAAGTTTTGAGGTAAAGGAATGCCACATTGTTGGGCGGCAAAGAGTAATTCCACTCTCTGTTCTTTCTCCCTCAGACTCAAATATACCGAGAAAGCTGGGAGTTCGATGCAGTTGGGGAAGCCGTGGCTCCCGGAGCGAAAGAAGGTGTATGATTCGTGTTCTGGAAAGGTTCCTTTCAGCAGTCGTCGAAGAAAGTTGCTGATGGTCACTCGCATCTCCTGCTTCCCTTGGGCATCAGCCTGCATTCGGTTCATTGGCATGAGGAAACCTAATGACTCGGGAGTGTACCCGGCGCGTACCAGAAATTCCATCATCTTTTCATAGATCTCCAAAGTCTTGATGACAGGCATCATCATGTTTCTTGGTCGTCCTGAGTACATCTTCTCTCCCTCTGACCATGAGTTCCTTTTCCCTTTCTCCTGAAAGAGTTCGTCCAACTCCAGCTCTGTTGGTCGCTTGAGGTTGCCATCCTGGTCTTCGCCTGTGTAGGGGCAGAAGTCGTCCAGGTCCAGCCGGACTCGCTTGGTTTCCGTCATCATCTCGTAGTATTCCTCTGGGGTCAGAGTGACTCTCTGTTTATAGTAGAGCCTGAACATTGTGATGACCTTCGACATGACGGCATTGTCATACAAGTGAGCCGCGGCCTCGGAGACATCATTGTTGATAAGTCCGTCTTCTGGCATACCCTTGCTGCCGCTCTCAAGATTCTTAGTCCATGCTGGAAGTTTGGAAGAAGGTTCATCTTCAGGTTCGACGTCCATTTCATCGTCGTCTTCTTCAACGATTTCGTCGTCTTCCTGTTGAGCTTCCTCCTCCTGATCCATTTCCTCATCATCGCCTTCATTGTAGTCGACCTCGTCAGGATTGAAGCCATAGTCGTTGGATTCGGATACGTTTTCTTGTGCTTGATTGACCGTATCCTTGAACAACGATTCTTCTTGTCGACGAACTTCTTCATCGATCTCTTTCTTTGTTGCCTCATCTTCATCGTCTTCAGGAGCTTGTAGCCGATATGGACGGATTCCACAACTTTCAAGTTCCGTCCAGCAGACTAGACACACTGCTAGCTTTGTCGGCGTCTCGTTGAGACAGTGAGGACAATGACGGCAACCTGACGTTTGCACCCTTTTGCGCTCGACTATGTAGTCAATCAGCTTGATGCGGGCCAGGTATTGCTCTTGTCCGCCAGGCTCGATGAGGTTGTTCTTGAACTGGTTGACGATGTTCATGGCATCCATGGCGATTTCGTCATATGGTTGGTCTTCGGCGTCGATGCATTGACTTGCAACCCTCAGGATGGACTCCTTGGTGGCTACCGTTCTTGATTTGATAGTTCCAGACCGGACTACCTGGTCGTCGCCCGACGGGACGAACAACCGGAGCCATGTCTTGTTGTATTGGTCCTTGGGGTCCTGAATCCATCCTCCTTTGATTGCCGAGAACGGGATGATCCTTGGTGAAACGATCTGTCCCGAGTCAGTTAGTCGACCGCCATATTCCACCATCAAGGTCTCGGTCGGGATGAACAAGCAAATGTAGTCCCCTTGCGCGTATCAACGCTCTTCGTGATGGTCCATGATCTGTGATCCCATGGCACATACGGGTTGAAGAACGTGAACATCCGATGACCTTCTCCAAGACCTCCTGGAATTAATCCCTGCCTCCAAATGCTTCGGAGGTTGGTCTTCTTGGTGATGTGGAAACAGACCGGTAATGACAGAATGGTGTTGGGTGCGATTGGATGTGAAAGCAACGAGGACAGCAATGAAACGTCGTCTCTTGAAGATCCTTCTTTGTGCCCCGTAGGAGCACGGACCGCCACTGGGTAGAGCAGTAGACCTTCTTCAGGGATGTGCGTGTCCGCTTCGACATTGTTGTCAATGCACGTCAGGCTGCGGCGATCAATGTCCTTGTTGATCCCAAATGCCAAGACTTGTTCACGCACACGACGTCCGTACCGGGCACAGTGGAACATGATCTTGAAGAGCAATGTCATGCGGTAGTTCGCCTCTTTGACATTCCATGCACTCTGATCATTTGCTCTTCCTTTTGGGGCAAGGAATACGTGTGGCCAGCGTGCATGCTCGTGCCTCCAGATGGACTCACATTTGAGCACCTCCTCGATGGGCACCCAGCCGGCGTCATCACAGGACAGACTCTGCTGCTCTGATACCTTCCCCACGTTGTGCCGCAGGATCCTGTTTAGTGAGGTACTCACCTTGTCCTCGTAGGTGTCGAGCCGGTTGCCAGTCTCGAAGCGGTAGTTGGCTGCATATTCTACACCGCCAAAGTAAGAGCAGTTGAAGAAATGGGCCCCCGTTGTCGGGATGATTTTCAAGAAACCATCTTGCGGCGCTTCGACTCGTTTGTAGAAGGTCTTCCTGATGTTGTTGTCAGAGTAGCTTGCCATGAAGTCTGGCACTGACCAAGTGTCGCCTCCTCCTCTGACAATAGCGTCTCGGATCACTTCGTTGAGGTCAACAACGTTCTGTGGTCCTGGCTTTGTAACATCACGTCCTTCGATGCAGAACCTACCATACTCATCGAGGTCACCAACTTCAGACATAGTTCTGATGCTGTCGTACCACTGGTGTTCACTAAACCTCGGTTTTGTAGGTTCATCTTTTTGCCCCGACCCTTCAGTAGCACCTGAACCGTCCTTCTTGTGCTCAGGAGGCTCCATATCGACGTCATCAGATGTGGGACTATCAGCCTCGAGCGACGCTCGGACGGCCTTTAGCACCTTTCTGACTTCATCTCTCTTCTCATGTTCACATTCAAGATGACCATGTTTGGTGCTACCACAATACAAGCACACGTTGACATCCTCAGAGACGGTGAAGAGTTTTCCCAACGCATCCAAAAGTTGTTGTTTCCCGGAAATTTCTGAGTCCCTGACCACATCGGTGGGATCGTTTGCTGGCTCATCAGCTTCCTCCTCCCCAGGGTGAGCCGACGACTCGTCACCTGGCTTGGCATCGGCATCAGCGCCCATGCTGGCGTCATCCCCTGTGATGTTGTTCTTCCTTCGATAATGAGAGAATACCTGATCCTTCTCCCATTCCGTGAGGCAGCAGAAATTGGCCAGCGAATCATATCCGGGGATTGCGTGGATGAGCTTCATGACCCTTTCGGCTTCTGCAGTCTGCAGTGTGCAGTCGAAGGATCCCCGTCTCTTGTCATTGATGGTGCTCGAGGTTCTGGAGGTCGATGTGAATTGAGCCAATGCCTTTTCCAATCCATTGAGATACTCAGCTGGATCAACACTGGCATTGAAAACATCCACAACTCCTTTGGCCATATTGGCCACATCCAAGACACCAAGCCAGAACTCGATGATATCTCCAGTTTTCTCGGCAGATGCACGGGAGAATCCAAAGATCTCGTTCCTCTCCTTCACCTCGGGAACGGCGACCTTCTCGAAGAAATCTTTGTATGCGACATTTCCGCAATCCTTCGTGACTCTGTAGATCAAGAGCCACTTCTTCGCGACTTCATCAAAAACTCTTTCGCGATAGATACTGAATTGCTTGCCGCGTCCGTTCCGGAAAATTTCCAGAGCTTGCCTCTTCGAAATTCTGACTCTCCCATGTGAGATAGAGATTTCATCAAGTGCTCCCCATACGCCAACGATGCATTTGAAATCAACGAAGACGCAGTAAATGTGAGCCATGTTTGAAATCCTTGATTGATGTCAACAATGTCAACACCAAGATCCTCGAATGCAACCTTCAGTCTGGCCGCAAGGAGTAGCACGGACTTCCTGGCCTCCAATGTGGGAGCTGAACGCTTGTAATGGTCCTGGGTATTGGCGGAGCAATTAATGCAATGGGTCGGTCTCGACTGGCA